TGGACCCCAACTCATGGTGACCCCATGTGTGTCAGAGTACAGCTGTGCTCCACAGGGTCTTCGATGGCTGATTTTTCTGAAGTAGATCTCCAGGTCTTTCTTCTGAGGCATCTCTGGGTCGATCCAAACCTCCACCCTTTCAGTTAGCAGCTGAGGGCGTTAAACATTTGTGGGGACTCCGTTTGCCAGGTAATTCTAATGTGCAACCCAGGTTAGTAACCACTGTTTAGAGCAGTGGGTCTCACACTTTGGTGAATAGTCAAATCGCCTGGGGAGCTAACGAAGCCCCAGGAGGCCCAGCTTCTTGGAAGCGGGATGGGACTGGGGATTTTGTGCTTTTACCACATTTTCCAGGTGATTCTGATATCACGAAGGTTTGAGAACATCTGCCTCAAAGGACAAAGCTTGTACATCTTTCAGCAGCTGTTTCTTCTGTTATTATGCTGGAATGGGAAGGGATTGTGGTCAAAGTATGGCATGCTTTCAATTTTTTTCTCATATTTATTACACATTATTATTAAAATTTTCTTGGTAATCTAGTTATATGGAAGTTTGGAAAATATTGAATTTGGAGCTCAAAAGATAGGGGAAAATTGAGAAGATAGGGATTTCTTTGTTATTCTCACCTTTATAAGCTTTGTCTTTTAACTATTTAAGTCATGTGATAATTGACATATTAGCATTTTTCTAAGGTCTTATTAAATATTTTTTATGTACTGCTCCTCACCCCCTTTCCTGCTCCCTCATTTATATCTCTCTTTCCTTAGTTTTTGGAATAAGGATTTTCTTTCTAGAGTTCTTACTCAGTACTGTTTTAGAAAGTATACAGTCTGTACCTTCAAGGAAGAATCATTAATGACCTGTGATATGCAGATGACACAACCTTGCTTGCTGAAAGTGAAGAGGACTTGAAGCATTTATTGATGAAGATCAAAGACCACAGCCTACAGTATGAATTACACCTCAACATAAGGAAAACAAAAATCCTCACAACTGGACCAGTGAGCAACATCATGATAAATGGAGAAAAGATTGAAGTTGTCAAGGATTTTGTTTTACTTGGATCCACAGTCAACACCGATGGGAGCAGTAGTCAAGAAATCAAACTATGTATTGCACTGGGCAAATCTGGTGCAAAAGACATCTTTAAAGTGTTAAAAAGCCAGGATGTCACTTTGAGGACTAAGGTGCGCCTGACCCAAGCCATGGTATTTTCAATCGCCTCATATGCCTGTGAAAGCTGGACAACAAATAAGGAAGAATGAAAAAGCATCGACACATTTGAATGATGGTTTTGGCAAAGAATACTGAATATACCATGGACCTCCAGAATAACGAACATATCTGTCCTGGAAGAAGTACAGCCAGAATGCTGCTTAGAAGTGAGGATGGAGAGACTATGTTGCACTAACTTTGGACATGTTATCAGGAGGGACCAGTCCCTGGAGAAGGACATCATGCTTTGTAAAGTAGTTATTGTTGTTAGGTGCCGTTGAGTCAGCTTGAGCCCATTGTTGTAGCCTCTGTGTCCGTCCATCTCGTCGAGAAACTTCCTCTTTTTCGCTGACCCTCTACTTTACCAAGCATGCTGTCCTTCTCCAGGGACTGGTCCCTCCTGATAACATGTCCAAAGTAAGTGCGACATAGTCTCTCCATCCTCACTTCTAAGCAGCATTCTGGCTGTACTTCTTCCAAGACATGGTAAAGTAGAGGGTGAGCAAAAAGAGGAAGACCTTCAGCGAGATGGATGGACACATGGCTGCAACGATTGTGAGGATGGTGCAGGACCAGGAAGTGTTTCCTTCTGTGTACACGGGGTCAGTATGAGTCAGAACTGACTTGACGACCCCTAACAACCACAATGGCACACTCGATATTGTGAGGATGGTGCAGGACCAGGAGGTGTTTCCTTCTGTGTACACGGGGTCAGTATGAGTCACAACTGACTCGACGATCCCTAACAACCACAATGGCACACTCGATATTATGAGGATGGTGCAGGACCAGGAAGTGTTTCCTTTTGTTGTACACGGGGTCAGTATGAGTCACAACTGACTTGACGGCACCTAACAACCACAACGGCACACTCTATATTATGAGGATGGTGCAGGACCAGGAATTGTTTCCTTCTGTTGTACACGGGGTCAGTATGAGTCAGAACTGACTTGACGGCACCTAACAACCACAACAGCACACTCTATATTATGAGGATGGTGCAGGACCAGGAGGTGTTTCCTTCTGTGTACACGGGGTCAGTATGAGTCAGAACTGACTTGACGACCCCTAACAACCACAATGGCACACTCTATATTATGAGAATGGTGCAGGACCAGGAAGTGTTTCCTTCTGTTGTACACGGGGTCAGTATGAGTCAGAACTGACTTGACGACACCTCACAACAATGGCACACTCTATATTATTTTCGCAGTTCCTCTTAAATTTGGATTTACATGCTTAACTTAAAGGGGCGTTTGTGTCTTGGTCCTAATTCTTTCTGGTGCCTTCATCCTATTTATGTCGTCAGTTTTTGTGACTTCTCTCTAAACCCTGCCCCCCCGCCCCGGCCGGGGTTCTTGTTTATGTATATCTTGATCCCTTTCTCCCCCTACTTCTCCTTATAATTAGCTCCACTGGAGGAGGTGGAAGTTTAGAGTTGGCCAAGAGAGACGGTTTATGTTCAATGTTGCTCAGACTTCTCTGATATTTGCCCTTTCCAGTTCAGTGAAGAAATTACTAAGGTCCAGGGAGCACACGAAAACCATTCTGTTGAACAGATTTTCAACACCATTCTGTTTTCCTGTCATCCTGAGGTATGACTTCCTAGTGGGTTTTGAAAGGAAAACACCAACACCGCTAGTTAAAGTTGAGGTTGTTCTCACTGAAGGCTGATCCCACAGCAGTATAAACACAGATAGGCAGGGCTTTTCACCCTTAATATTGGCTGTTGGTGTAAAACTTAGCATTTGGTTAAATCTAATTGTTCCGATATGTCAGCAAATATCCTCTGAATCTTACCATATACAATCCATTGTCGCATCCTCCTGGAAATGTGCTTTGCAGGTATTCAGCCCAGAGTGCACCAGAAAAGAAATGGGTATCACGAGAACTAAGTTTGACCCTTGCCTTCTCAATAGCTAAGTAGACTAGGGCACGTTCCTTCACGTCTTGAATCTTGACCTCTGGGCCTGGTTCTTCACCTATAGAATGATACACAGATTGATTAGTTATCAATTTCAGGGTAACACATTACCCCAAACCTAGTGGCTTGTGATGACATTTATTTTCTCAGTTTCTGTGCTCCTGTGGGCAGGAATCTGGGTGTGGCGTACTAGGGCCTCGGGCTCCATGTCTCTCACAGGCTATAGTCAAGGTGTCATGGAGATGGTGGGATAATCCTTTTTATAGCCCACACTGTGGGTGCTGGCAGAACTCAGTTCCTTGAGACCTTAGTTCCTCGTTGCTGACTGCTGGTGGAAGACACCCTAAGTTCCTTGCCACGTGGGCCCCTCCTCAATGTGGAGCTCACCTCTCTCAGAGCAAGGGCTCCAACAGGGAGAGGGAAAGAGAGTAAGCAAGATGGAAGTCAGTCTTTATCTGTAGTCTCATCCGGGAAGCAACATCCTATCCTGTTTGGTGTTTCTATCAGCTATACGTGAGGGCAGTGGTGGCTCAGTGGTAGAATTCTCATCTCCATGAGGGAGACTTGGGTTCAATTCCTGGCCAATACACCTAATGCACAGCTACCACCGGTCTACCAGTGGAGGTTTGTATGTTGCTATAATGCTGAACAGGTTTCAGTGGAGCTCCCAGACTAAGCTGGACTAGGAAGAAAGGCTCGGTAATCTAGTAAATACCAGGAAGTGGGGATCTTTGGGAACATCTTCGCTGTTGCTGTTAGCTGCTGTTGGTTGGTGTCAAACTCATGGTGAGCCACGCACAGTGGGATTGAACTGTTGTGATCCATAGGATTTTTGGTGACTACTTTTTGGAAGTACATTGCTAGGTATTTGTTGCTAGTCCATCTTAGTCTGGAAGCTCTGCTGAAACTTGTTCAACATTGTAGTAAAGTGCAAGCCTCCACTGACAGAAGGGTGGTGGGGCCATCTTGGAGGCTGCTTATTGCACATGATTAATTTTTTCCTCAAAGACCTACCCTTTTATTACATTGATTTAATTCTAAAGTTGAAGTGACCTTAAGTGGTCATCTAAGTCATTCCCTTGTCTTTAATAGGTAAGTAGTTAATAATGCTAGTCTAATAGCATATATCCTTCTTTGAAGAATTTTTTAAATGGAAACTCTCTAATCTCCTTTGATTATTTATTCAAACACTTTATCCCCTTATTGGTCTACAAGTTTGTAAGCCCAATTACATTCTCCTACTTTATTTAATTTGTTTAATTTTTATTTTAACTTAACAGAATTTAATTTCTTTTTATTTTAATTGCTTTATTTTAATGTCAATTTATTTAATTTATCCCACTTTAATTTAAGCAAGGATTAGAATCTATTTGGGTGTCAGAAAGGAAAGATTACTTCCTGCCCTAGGAGGAGCTGAGAGACCATTTTCTATGTATTTATAATGCATAGTTAAAAGCCAATTAGTTTGGTTTCAAAACTTCCAAATAAAGTTGATTGCACAGTCTTTTAAAAAAAAAGTCAAGGCCAATATAAATGAAGCTCCATTGCAAGTTTGGATTGTGGTTTAGAGCATTTAGATACATGCTCATCAGCTTGACTGTGGTGAGAGGGATGGCGTGCACTGTGCCCAGAGGGCAAGGTAGCACCATAGTGTGAAAGGACACTGGCCAGAGACATGGGTGTGAGTGCGAGCTCTGCCATTGCTTGGGACATAGCACAGCTTCGCCGACTCTCAATGTCCTCACTTGTACCATGAGGTTAGTTAATGAAACCACAGGCTCAAATGAGACACGTGCTGTGCTTCATAAACGATAGTGCTCTACAATGCATGGATTTCCTTTGATAGTCTTCCCTTTTTCAGGCCACGTGTGACCAGCGAGGTTGCTGCTGGAAACCTCAGGGAACCATCAGCGTGCCCTGGTGCTACTATTCCACGAGTTACGGCTATCAGACAGAGGGAGAGCTCGTGAACACGAGGGCAGGTAAGCTGGGTGGATGCTGCAGGAGGCAGGAGCTCTGGGACTTCTGGGGGTCAGCTCATGCCCCGAGAAGAGAGACGAGAGAGCCTTAGCCTGGCCACACTTCCGTGCGCATGCGCACAAGAAGGTGCCCATGCTCCGCACGAGAAGGTGCGCATGCTCTGAGGCAGGGTCTAGATCTGCTTCGAAAGCAAGGGCACGTGGCTCTGCTTTGGGAGTTGAGCGAACATCTCTGCCCCTCTGTGCACTTTCTCGACCTCAGGCAATCCTCCTGCCCTCCTTGGCTCATGGCATTCTCATTTTGAACTCAGCAACCCCTGTGACTACTTCCAACTCTGTTGTTAGTTGCTTCGAGTTGATTGTGAGTCATGGCAACCCCATGTGACAGAGTAGAAGGGCTCCATAGGGGTTTCGTGGCTGGAATCTTTATAGAAGCCGATCACCAGGCCTCTCTTCTGCGGTACTGCTGGGTGGGTTCAAACTGCCAACCTTTAGGTTAGCCGTTGTGTGCGAACTGTTTGCATCACCTAGGGATCTCAATATTATGCAGTTCTAATGATAAGGATGCAACTCCAACTTCATCAACATTTTATGGAATTTACCAAGTCAATATCTATGTTCATCAACTGAACACCCTTCTTTCCCCTCCTGCGCTGAAAGGCAGAGCTTAATCATGGGCATTCTGGGTGATGCTAGGAAGTTATTACTCGGGGGGGATTCTTAGCATAAAGAAGAGGCATGTCCCCCTCCAGCGACTCCTGGCCCAATGTGCTCTACTCTCCTGAGGTCCTGAAGTTCACCTGGCTCACCATGGACCTAGGGACGTTATACCAAGGTCTAGGAGTCCCTGTCACGTCACAGGAAAATGACTGAGAAGGGAGAGTGTCTGTTTACAACCTGAGGGCTGAGAGTGCACAGGTGTCTGATTAACAGAGTGGCTGATGGGCTGCAGGAATGGGAGCTGGGTGTTTGGGGGAGATGTGCAATCAGATGTTGTATAAGAGATACCTAGGTTTTCGGAAAAAGTAGTGACAGTCCCAAGCTTCAGGAACCAGCCCCAAGTAGGACATGTGGATAATGGGATACACGGCTGTCTCTTCCTTTTTGGAAAATAAAGGCTTTTCACCAGTCTTCTTTGACATAAAGCTTAGTTCTTATGTGACTGTTGTTTGCGAATCTACAGAGCCAACTGTGAAAACCTTTTCTCCTATCATGTTAGGATTCACAGCCCAGCTGAGGAGGCTGCCTTCCCAATCCCTGTTTGGAAGCGACGTCGACAACGTCCTCCTCACAGCGGAATACCAGACATCCAACCGATTCCATTTTAAGGTTGTGGTTTGTCTATTTTTAAAAATGTCTTTGGGGGGATTCTTGTTCCCTACCCAAGGACTGCAGTTACTACAAAATAGAAAATTTTGTGAATGGAGGTATTTTTCTCTGTTATCATTATTCCTATTTAGCACCTCTGGCCTTTCCTCAGTGTGATAACTTCCTAAGTGTATATTACAGATTTGATTGGCAAGCTTTGATCCTCACTTATTTGCCCTAGAGACCATGTGAAATGTAGTAGGGATGTGGGGGGGGGGGAAGAATTATCATAGCTTTGAGAATTCTAGGGGCAACCCATCTCTTTTTGCCCAAGTGTTAACAATTTGAATTGGGTGGTATACAATGTCATAAAGATGTCACTGGGTCATAATGTCATTGGGTCAGTGTCCGAGTTCTTCAAGTACAGATACTGGGAAGCACCAATGTCGGAGGGAGAAGCCTCCACTTTGACTCTCTTCCCCTTCCTCTCTCTGGACAGTTAACTGACCAGAACAAGGACAGGTACGAAGTGCCCCATGAACATGTGCAACCCGTTGAAGGAAGCGCTGCTTCTCCTTTGGCTTACAAAGTGGAGGTCTCCAAACAGCCGTTCAGCATCAAAGTGATCCGGCAGAGCAACAACCGTGTTCTGTAAGCTTTGAGGACATGTCTGTCTGGGGATCAAGGAGGGAAGCTCACAGGGTCTTTCAACAATATTCCTGAAGGTTACCGGCCCATTGTTGGTGACAGATTCTCTCTTTCTACCTCCAAATGTGTACTTTCCTCTGCCTTCCGTCATCTTTCTTCTTCTCATTTGCTCAATTTTTCTTATTTTTCCCTTTGTTTCTTCCATCCATCTGACCACCTGTCCACCAGGAAATAGTTACTGAATGTCTACTGTCCTCAAGCACAGTGTTTTTGTCACATGGTATAGTGTCTGGGGGCAAATCTAAGAAATGTGCCGCATGTATCAGCCCTCAAGGAGTCCTGGCCTCTTGGTGTCCATGGAAAAATGTCACCAGAGGGCAAATCGGGCAGATTAAATAGGAGCTATTGAGTCACTGGGAGCCCTGGTGGAGCAGTGGTTAAGAGTTTGGCTGCTAACCAAAGGTTGGCAGTTCAAACCCACCAGCCACTCCTTGGAAACCCTATGGGGCAGTTCTGCTCTGTCCTGTGGGGTCACTATGAGTCAGAATTGACTTGAAGGCAGTGAGTTTTTGGTTTTGGGTTTTACTGAGTCACCAAAGAGGCCCTGGGTGGTACAGATGGTTAACATACTCGGCCACTAATGGAAAGGCTGGAGGTTGGAGTCTACCCGGAGGTGTCTGGTGATCTACTTCCAAAGAATCAGCCATTGAAAACCCTATGGAGCACAGTTCTACCCTGTCATGTATGGGGTCACCATGAGTTGGAGTCAACTCAATGACAGCTAGTTTTTTTGGTGCTGAGTCATCAAGGTATAAAGAACACTTTTTTAAGCAGTTGTGCTGTCTCCACCCCACTTGCCCACCTGTCCCTCTTTTTCCCACCTGTCTCTAGGTTTGACTCAAGCATTGGGCCCCTCCTCTTTGCTGACCAGTTCCTGCAATTATCCATCCGCCTGCCCAGCGCCAATGTGTACGGGCTGGGAGAGCACGTGCACCAGCAGTACCGCCATGACATGAACTGGAAGACCTGGCCCATCTTTGCCAGGGACACCATCCCCACCGAGGTGAGTTCTCGGTGAGGGCACTCCACTATCATGGCCTCACTCCTGGGGGTTGACTCTAGCGGTACACTGCAGTGGTTCAGATTAAGATTCGTCAGGATTCTTGGGGGTTGTGTCTGGCGGTACACTGCAGTGGTTCAGAGTAGGATTCAGCAGGATTCTTTGGGGTTGGCTCTCGTAGTACACTGCAGTGATTCAGACTAAGATTCACCAGGATTCTTGGGGGTTGGCTCTCGTAGTACACTGCAGTGATTCAGACTAAGATTCACCAGGATTCTTGGGGGTTGGCTCTCGTAGTACACTGCAGTGATTCAGACTAAGATTCACCAGGATTCTTGGGGGTTGGCTCTCGTAGTACACTGCAGTGGTTCAGACTAAGATTCCAGGACCCGGCTGCTGGGCTTGAATTCTGGCTCTGCTACTTCCCAGTTCTGTGGTCCTGTGTCTTCAGCCCCTCCTCTATAAAATGGGGCATTACAGTACCTATACTATACCTATATAGTTGCTATGAGTCAGAATCTACTCGACGGCAATGGGTTTGGTTTTTTTTTTTTTATACTACCTCATAGGGTGAGGAGCGAATGCATTGATGCATGTAAAGTTCCCAGGTGAGTGTCTGGCACATAGTAAGTGCTCCGTAAATGCCAACAACTTTAAATTACACTTTCTCTTTGCACCAACTGGTTGTGGACAAAATGTTATTAACATCTGGACTCTGCTCTGCATGGTGGTTGTGCTCTCCATATTTGTAGACGTGATACTTACAGATCACCAGTTTAGCAGGTCTGTCGGCAGAGAAGGAGAAAGTACCGGCCAGAACATGGCGCTAATCATTTTTTGTGTGAAGAGCGGTTGGGGCAGTGAAAGAAAAGACTGACTTTTTTTTTCCCCTTTTTCCTTTTTTTTTTTTTACTTTTGTTTGTTGTTTGTTCTGAGTACTAAACTCAAAGCAAAGTATTTTCTAGGCTCAGCAATGCTATACTTGGGTTTTGTTCCGAGGCATTCCTGATTAAGCAGAACCAGCAGCTGCATGAAAGGAGGGCATCGGAATACCTTATTAAGCAAGTGTTTTATACAGTTATAAATTGTTGTCTCCATTCACTGAAAGAACCCAGAAAAAATAAGTCTGGTTAACTCCACTTAACAGGCAAGGGAACTGAGGCTCAGAGAAGCCACATAAATAGCCAAGGTCAGAAAGTCTGTAAGCAACAGAGTGGGATGGAGGCCCTGGCCCGTCTGACTCAAAGCCTGTACCTTCTGCTATACCATTTGCCCATGAGAAAATCAGAGGATGAGCCAGAGCAGCTCATCTGGAAAAAGCTGGTGACAATTGTGTGATTAAAGAGCCCCAGACACCTGCACTCAGAGGACTCGGCTCGGGCACCACTGAGTTGTCAGAGATTCAGGCTTTCAGCCCCTCCCTCCATCTACTGAACTGTGTTGTTGTTAGGTGCCATCGAGTCAGTTCTGACTCATGGCGACAGTACGCACTAGAGAACGGAACACTGCCCGGTCCTGCACCGTCCTCACAATCATTGTTAAGCTTGAGCCCATTGTTGCAGCCACTGTGTCAATCCATCTCATTGAGGGTCTTCCTCTTTTTTGCTGACCTTATACTCTACCAAGCATGATGTCCTTCTCCAGGGACTGATCTACTGAATTAGAACCTGTATTTAAATAAGATCTCCACATAACTTGAATGCACACCAGATTTTGAGAAGTACTGTGCTAGAGTCTGGGACAGTGATTCTTAATAACAACTCCCCATTGGGGAAATTTAAATTTAAATTTAAATGTCACTGTCTGCGCCCATCCCCAGAGAATCTGTTTTAATTGGTCTGGGTCCAGCCTGAGTTGAAAGCTATGTTGGAAAGTCTAGAAGCCTAGCTAGATGCCTAGGCCAGAGCTCCATCTGGTTGATGTTAAAAAGGTGCCTGATTCTTATTAAGTCTCGATGGTGCCTTTGCAGATGGCTTCAAGTCAGATGAAGACAGGCCTCTTGGTGAGGGGAGGTTTTTGGAACACGATTTCAGAATTACTACCCTCTCATCTCTGAACAATATCACAACCTCTCATACCTTACTAAATATATCAGCACAGCTGGCTCATTCAATAACACTTATTCCCTTGGTTAACATCAACCAAATGTAGACCCGTATTTTTAAGTTCACTTGTGTCCTTTCTGACCATGAGTCCACTGTTAATTGAGTAATTCATACTGATTAATTACCTGATTAAGACATTTACTAAGTCATTTCCAGCGATGTAGAATTTAGACGATTAGGTTGTAAATGTTTGGTTTTTCATGATCTTTCTGCAGGATGCGAAGAACCTATATGGCTCGCAGACATTCTTCCTGTGCCTTGAAGATGCTAGTGGCTTGTCCTTCGGGGTGTTTCTGATGAACAGCAATGCCATGGGTAAATGACCCAAGATAGATGTTCATGAAAAAAAGCACAAGAGCAATTTTCAGTCTGTTTCTTTACAGTACTATGGTAAAAGGAACGGGGTCCTTTCAGACTCGCTGGGCCGTAGTTAAGGGCCTAGTATGTTTCTGATCATTCCATCTCTACTTCATTACCTGTTGACTCATGAGAGCCAATTGTAGCGATTCTTCTCCTAGCTTATGATCATCTGAATCCAGCTGCCTCTGTTGGAATATTTCTATTACAGAGTTAAGACAGCCAACCCTTTCCTATAATCTTATATCTGAGATCATTTCCACCAACTTCGTTCTTCTCCCTTCTGAGCCTTTCCTCCAGTAAACAAACAAACAAACCAGTTGCTGTAGAGTTGACTCCGACTCATGGCTCCTCCATGTGTGTCAGAGTAGAACTCTGCTCTGTAGGGTTCTCAGTGGCTGATTTATCAGAAGTAGATTGCCAGGCCTTTCTTTCAAGGAGCCTCTGGGTGGACTTGAACCTTCAGCCTTTTGTTTAGCAGCTGAGCGCTTAATCACCATGTAGGGACTCCTTCCCAAAGTAGAGGGGTTGATGTGAATGCAGGTAGGAAAAAGCCAATTGCTCTGGTCCTAACAATGAGAGCAGCCGGTGCTAACCTGGGAACTACAACTGAGCAGAGAACATTACCATCAGATGCTCCAAAGGCAGAAAGGTTAAGTGCAGTGGCAAGAATGACATGCAGAGTAAGATTAGATTGCTTAAGACCAAACAGTGCAACGTTTGTTGTTGTTGTTGTTCGGTGCCATCCAGTCAGTTCTGACTCGTAGTGTCCCTGTGCAAATAGAACGAAACACTGCCTGGTCCTGTGTCACCCTCACAATTATTGCTATGTTTGAGCCCATTGTTGCAGCCACAGTGTCATTCCATCTCATTGAGGATCTTCCTCTCTTTAGCTGACCTTGTACTTTACCAAGCATGATTCCTTCTCCAGGGACTGGTCCTTCCTTATAACATGTCCAAAGTACATGAGATGAAGCCTCACCATCCTCGCTTCTAAGAAGCATTCTAGCTGGATTCCAGAAAGTGTCAAGATTCTCCATTTTCTATCAATGATTCTCAACACGTTTTCTGCTTGCATCAATAACGACAGCTGCCAGTGGCAATGAATCACCAGAGAGAGGAGGTGTATCAGAATCTCCCCTGGTTGACAGTGGGCATAGGCTCTTGAGCCCCTCTTCTTCTCAGTTGAGAATCATTGGAGGAGATCAGTGCTAACAAAGAATGGTGCACGGATGGGGCGTGTTTCAGGTCTACAGTACGATAAGGGGAGACATAGAAAGTGAGCATTGTCGTTACACCCAAGTGCATGCATGGACCTTTTCCTAGTCGTTCATTTTCATGTTGTTTTACGAAAGTATGAGTTTGCAATGGAAATTAAAAAAAAAAAAAAAAAAGATCTACTCCTTCACCACAGATTGTTTGAGAAGCACTAGACTGGATGATCTCGAAGGCCCAGCTTTAGCTCATTAGTTCCCAAGCTACCGGCCAAGGAGAATAGACTGAGTAATGCAAGGACATTACTGAGTAATGAAGGACATCATGCTTGGTAAAGTAGAGGGTCAGCAAAAAAGAGGAAGACCCTCAACGAGGTGGATTGACACAGTGGCTGCGACAATGGGCTCAAGTATAATAATGATCGTGAGGATGGTGCAGGACTGGGCAGTGTTTTGTGCTGTTGTACGTAAGGTCTCTGTGAGTCAGAATTGACTCAACAGCACCTAACAACAACAACAACGCAAGGACTGTACGGTTTCAGGTAGGTGACAGGGACCAGCAAACAAGCTCAGGCTCAATGGGAAACTCCCCAAAACCTGTATTCTCTGTGTGAGTTGTTCCTGTGACCAAGGAATACGGTTCTGTATACTGTAAGGCCTTTTATTTCTAGATGCAAACCAACACTATAAGGAGACCTCACCTCTGAGAATGACCTTTTGGCATGCAGAGCAATTTTTAATGTATAATATACTCTTGGACATTGTTGAGTTTGGCTCTGGCTTGGTGTGGGATTCAAAGACTAGGCAAGAACCTCAGTGTGTTCCTGCAGTCACATGGGGTATGGATGGGGTGGAGACAGCATGTCCCAAGGTCGTGGATGTGCTTAATTTTCCAAGAGCTTGGAGCCGAACACAAGGAATTAACATGCTCCAGTCATCCGTTATTGAAGTCTGTCATCGACTCAAGTGCTTGGGCTCTTGTCTGCCATGATGGCAGGCCTTGGACATCAGAGTTTGTCACTTTGTGTACAAAATGCAAAACATCAGGATCACTTTATTAATGTTGACATGGTTGCAGTCTTCTGGTCTAGATGCTTGTATTTATTTCTGTAGAATAAATTCTAATTTTTACTGTCTTCGTTTTTAATTCAAGATGTTGTCCTCCAGCCTGCCCCAGCGGTTACCTACCGTGTCATTGGGGGCATTCTCGACTTCTATGTGTTCTTGGGAAACACTCCAGAGCAAGTTGTTCAAGAGTATCTAGAGGTAAATGCATGTTTTTATGATCACCACCAAGGAAATACTAAATAGCACAAAGAAAAGGAAATTTAATATGGAGGTGTGACTCACAAAAATCTGCTGTTATGGATTTCCAACATTAGAGAAATGGAAACCTGCTTTATAGCATTTGTATGTTATACAAGGAAGGCGAGAGAATTCAAAGATGCCTGAAACATGGCCTTAGCCACTATGGTTTTCAAAGTGGTTGGGAAAGTAAGACTAACATTGTAACAGTAACGAAACAGTGAGTTGAAAGATGGAGTATGTTTGGTGCCCCCAAAACCAATACTTTGAAAAAGTTTTCTTAAAAATAGAATATTTACTAACTTGCATTTCACGTATTTCTTTCAGCTCATTGGTCGGCCAGTCCTGCCTCCATACTGGGCTCTTGGGTTTCATCTCAGCCGTTATGATTATGAAAGTCTCAACAACATGAAGGAAGTTGTGGAGAGAAACCGGGCAGCAGGGCTCCCTTATGTAAGTGGTTGTTGTTAGTTGCCATCAGGTAGGTTCTGACTACAGGATGACTCAATGTGCGGCAGAACAAAATACTGCCTGGTTCTCTATCGAACAGTACTCTGTTGTGATCCGTAGGGTTTTCAATGGCTAGTTTTCAGAAGAAGATAGCTGAGCCTTTCTTTCTAGTCCATCTTAGTCTGGAAGCTCTGCTGAAACCTGTTCATCATGGGAGACCCTGCTGGTATGTGAAATACCAATGATGTAGCTTCCAGCATCACGGTGACATGCAGGCCATCACACACAGTACAACAAACTGGCAGACAGGTGGTGGGACATAAGTTAGGCCTTAAAAAAATCCTCCAGAAATAGAACAATAACAAAAATAAGAACAACCAATTATACTTTCTTCCCTTAGGTTTTTTTTTTTGTGTGTGTGTGATAAAATTTTTTTTATATATTCAGAAAACTAGACATTTTTGTTGGAACAGCCATTTCTCCAAGGAGCTATGGTTCGTTTTATTGGGAAATAGTGTTTAGAGACCACAATTATGGGGTTAAAAGGCAGTCTGTTCTTGTTTCTATTTTCTTATCACAGCAACGTTCTTATATTTTATTAGCAAAATTTCCTTGTGCTTACTGTATTTTACATGATGTGTTTTTGTTTGGGTTCACAAGTTTTCTCTCCCTAGCTTGCATGGGTGGTGCAAATGGTTTGTGCTTGACTACTAAATAAGGTTAGTGGTTCGAACCCATCCAGCGGCACCCCAGAAGAAAGGCCTGCTTCCATAGAGATTACAGCCAAGAAAACCCTACAGAGCAGTTCTACTCTGTAATGCATGAGAGTGCCATCAGTCAGAATCGACTCGACTGCAGTGGGTTTGGTTTTTGTTTTCTCTGTGCATTGGTGTCTTTTTACATGCATCCTTGGTTGGATTTTCATGACTGGAAATAGTTATGGCAGGGATTGGCTATCAGAGTGATAGTGTATTTTTATACATTCTTCTAAGATTCTGGTATACGCTTGATTCTTAGGTTTAGTGTCTGGTAACAGACATTTTAGGGGGAAGTTGAGGAGAGGGTTAATTCTAGACTCCAAGGATTTAGGACAAAAGAATTATACTACTGGACACAGCTGCCATCCACTGGGTTAACGTCCTTTTTGCACACAAGAAACTGAGGCTAAGTTAGGTGGGGCAGCTTGACCAAGATGACACAACTAGCTAGTGATTATACAACTAGTTAGTGACAGAACTGGTACTCCATGATTGAATGGACTTTAAAAATCACACAACACATTTTAAGTCTATCTATTTCTGCACTGGTGTTTTGATTGGCGTGGAACTGGCCACAGGCAGAGTTTACCTCTGCTTCATGTGGTCATCTTGTGTTGGAGCAGATCTTCAGTGGGCGGTTTGGAGTTGGGCAGGAAGAACGTCCATAAATGATGCGTGTAAAAGGAGCGTTTAACAGAACTGAGATTCAAAAGCCTAGGGAAACCAAGAAGACTGGTGAAGCCCAACAGTCTGAGTGGACAAAGAGGCTTGGGTGGGTGATTCCCTCTGCGTTTGGGCCTCAAGTCCAGCCATTCCTGGCTCCCAGCACTCACCTGCTTTATACATGTGAGTATAAAGGGCTTTCTTTGGCTAATTTTTAGAAGTAGGTGACCAGGTCTTTGTTCCTAGTCTGTCGGGAGGGGTGGGGAAGAAGTAACAAAAGGATTGGTAGAGGCCGTATGGAGGTGAAGGATAATAGGCACAGCCACCACAGAATGAGAGAGAGCTCGTGAACCCCTATGGCGGCACCTACTAGACACCTTCCTTGTTGTTAGTTCCCATGAACTCATGGTGACCCCATGTGTAGAGAGTGCAACTGCTCCATAGGGTTTTCGAGGCTGTGATTTTTTTGGAAGCAGATCACCAGGCCTGTCTTCTGAGGTGCCTGTAGGTAGGTTTGAACTGCCAGCCTTTCTGTTAGTGGTCCAGTTCTTAATCACTTGCACCACCCAGGGACTCCTGAGTCCCAACAGCCCCATCTTAGTATTGGCAACTAGAAGGAGTGATTTTCCATCTCAGCTCTCTAGCACCATAGTGGGTTTGATGCCACTCTTCTTACACACCATTAACAGCTAGACATTTTCTTCTAAAGTGATGTGGGGAACAAGATAGATTGACAGCTACTGGGGCACAGTGGAGTGCAATGTGAAAGGGAGCATTTAGAGGTGGGACTAAAGTCTGCGGACACAGGTCAGTAGAGGGGTCTTATTTTGCCAAGTCTAAGTGAGCAAAAGGACCAGTACATGCAATGTGATTCATGTTTTTATGCTTTGAGTGGCTGTGGAAGGAATGAGGTTCCACCAGAGACGCAAAGGGAAAAGCCCCAAAGTTTCTGGAGTAATCCTCTGCCCTCTCCTCCACCCATTCCCTTGGAGGCAGACACCAAGGCCCCAGCAAACCAATAACACCAAACCTGTTGCCGCTGAGTCAATTCTGACTCACAGCGACCCCACAGGACAGACTAGAACCACCCCATAGGGTTTCCAAGGAGCGACTGGTGGATTCGAACTGCCGACCTTTTGGTTAGCAGCCGAGCTCTTAACCACTCCACCACCAGGACTCCACAGGACAGAGTAAAACTGCTCCATAGGGTTTCCAAGGAGCAGCTGCTGGATTCTAACTGCTGACCTTTTGGTTAGGAGCAGAGCTTTTAACCACTGTGCCACCAGAGGCCCCAGAGCAAGAGTTAATTTCATTCTGCGCCTCCCCTGTTTTCTTAAGTGAAATTAGGAAAGAATCACACCAAAGCAGCCTGGAAGTAGGAAGGAAGAAACCATAGAGGAAAGGGGGGAAGAGGGAGGAGAGATAGGCCCCTCTGCCTTCATCTTGGATGTAGGTAGGAGGTGTTTCTGACAGCCTTCGTGGCTTGTCGTAGTTGTGGGATTTCTTTGCTTGATTGGTTAGGTTTTTAATGCCAGAGAACCTGGCAACCAGGGTAGAATGAAGTAGTTAACCCTGATTGCAGGGATGGGTGCAGGCCTTAGGGGACAACGGGTCATTTGCTCTTGGAATTACTATCAGAAAAGAAGCACTTGGATGCCAGGGACTGACTAAGAACTCAGATCAAGGCCCAGCACAAAGTGGATGCTTAATGTGAATAGTAAAAACTCGTTTCCATGGATTCCTTTCCTACTCAAGGTGACTTCCTGTGTGTCAGAGGGGAGCTGTGCTCCACACGGTTTTCAATGGCTGATTTTTTTGAAAGTAGATCCTCAGGTCTTTCTTCCGAGGCACCTGCGGATAGACTCGAACTACTAACCTTTCAGTTAGGGGCTGAGCACATTAACCACCTGGGGACCCCCAAACATGAATAATCAAGATGACAATTTGACCAATTTGCTTGAAAATGTAAATTCCTAGACACTAAATTGTGGACACTGTCTATTCTTTCAGGATGTTCAGCATGCCGATATTGATTACATGGACCGGAGGAAGGACTTCACTTATGACCCAGTCAGTTATGGAGGCTTCCCCGAGTTTGCTAAGGAGTTACACAGTAATGGACAGAAGTTGATCATCATTGTGGTATGTGGCACCCTCTCATTTTCCCCTAAATCTGGTACTTGCTACTTTCTTGTCATTACCCACCTCCTGCTTCCCATGTCCCAATTCCCTGTCTCCCTCCTGGACTTCTATCTCAAGGCTACTTTCTCCTTTGTGTTTCCCCTCTTAGGATCCAGCCATCTCTAACAACTCTTCCCTAAGCAGCCCCTATGGCCCGTATGACAGGGGCTCAGATCTAAAGATATGGGTGAATGCTTCAGATGGAGTGACTCCACTCGTCGGGGAGGTAACTTAATGGGGGATCTGGGGGCTGGTGGGGGGACTGTGGCAGTGTGTGTGTGTGTGTGTGTGTGTGTGTGTGATGTTTTTGTTTCAGATTTTCAGATGCCTTGTATATGTTGTTGTTAGGTGCCGTTGAGTTGGCTCCAACTCATGGTGACCTTATGTTTAAGAGAACACAGCTTTGCCTGGTCGGTCCTCAAACCTATGTTTGTGCCCATTGTTGCAGTCACTATGTCAGTCCATCTCGGTGATGGGCTCTTTCTTTTTAACTGACCCTCTGCATGTATACACCTGACCCAAACTCATTGCTGTAGAGTCAATTCCAACTCATAGTGACCCTATAGGAGAGAGTAGAGCTGCCCGACAGGGTTTTCAAGGAGCAGCTAGTGGATTCGAACTGTCGACCTTTTGGTTAGCAGCTGAGCTCTTAACCACTGTGCCACCAGGGCTCCCTTTCATTCTCTGCCAACCACACTCCTGTCATGTCTAAGCCCCTATGATGATAGCTCACACACACAGTGACCACTTCCTCATCTCCCATTCACTCTTCACCTGACTGCATCCATCTCCTGACCCATCCCACCTCACTGACGCTGCTCTGGAATGGCCCCCAGCCAGCGACTTGCTAACTGGAAAATCCCACAGAATGGTTCCATTCTTCATGCTACTCGATTTCTCTGCAGCATTGGACACATTTGACCATTTCTCAAACCTTTATTTGTCCTTGTTTTCCACAAAGGTGTTATCTGCTGGTCTGTGTCTAATACCTCAGACAGCCCTCTCTGAGTACATAGTGTTGGTGAGGAGTTGGGTAGGAAAGGAGAGGGATGAATACTAGAGGCTTAGGGCCCACCTGGTGATAGGCAGCTTCAGCTTTTAATGGGCCAGTCGACATTTATACAGTACTCTCCCCCTTGCCTATTCCTGGAATTAGGAGTAGAGAAAGCAGGAGGGAAGAGGGAACCGGAGTTGAAGTCTGGCAAGTTAGACGACGCCTTCATCCATGGACTTATTCATTAAGGACTTAGCCATTATTTTTACAATAAATTTTATCTCAGGTGACTGTTTGACTCCTCTGAAGTTTATTCTAAGCATTCAGAGAGCCCAGCATTCCTCCCTGAAAAGGTCATGTCCCTGGGCACCTCTGTTCACATGATGATATTAGTAGTTCTTTGCAAAGCACTGTTTTACTCTATATTCATTTAATTTACTCTCATGAGTGTTTTTCTTTTCCTCTTGCAGGTCTGGCCGGGAAGAACGGTGTTTCCTGATTACACCAATCCCAAATGTGCTGAGTGGTGGGCACAGGAATTGGAGCTTTTCTACAGTCAAGTAGAGTTTGATGGAATATGGATTGTGAGTTCTTTTTTTAAAATTACTTAATTTATTTTGTTGTTGTTGTTGAGAATATACACAGAAAAATGTATACCAGTTCAACAGTTTCTGCATGTACAGTTCAGTGACATTGATTACATTCTTTGAGTTGTGCAGCTATTCTCACCCTTCTTTTCTGAGTTGGTCTCCCCCCATTAACATAGACTCACTGCCCCCTAAGTTTCCTACTAATCTTTTGAGTTGCTGTTGTCAAGTTGAAGATTTGAGTTCTTAACAATCTGATTATTAGGTGGCTGATAATCAAATTGGCTTTGTCTTTGTCTGTATTTTTGAGTTATGGAACATAGGGGAGAGATGAGGAAAGAAAGGTGAGGGACAGGAAATACAGCAATAAATTCTTAGGTTTCTCTGTCTTACTGTTCAAATAATCTTAACAAAACATGTAGCTAAGACTCAAGATCAAAATGTTAGAGCTGGAGAGAAACTCAGAAATGTTTTTTCTGAGTCCAGCCCTGCTCTTACAAATGAATGAGCTGAAGTCAAAATAGGTCACATGTTCCTTACATTGTCACAAGGGACATGGATTGTCCAGTTGCCAGTTCAGGATCTTTTCACTTGGACATGTTGAACCAATCGATCAGAACAAAGCACCCAGGTGCATGAAGAACTGTGGCTGCAGTGAGGCGAAATGTCTCATATACTGCCAAACAAAAACAATTGCAACACGGCTGATGTTCAGCAAAATTTATGGAGCTGTGGCATTGAATTTTTTCTGTTTATAAGAGAAATGTAGAAAATTCAAACAATACAGAAGGCTAAAAAGATCAAAGCAAAGTTCCTCTAAAGTGTCATCAACCAAAGACATTGACCATCAGAATTTCGGTATGTGTCTTTCCAGACCCATGATTCTTACTGCTGTGGTGCGCGGGCTTTCTCTTCTGTGTATGTATATGTCTTTGTGTATGTGTATCCATTGTTACATTAGCCCTGGTGGCACAGTGGTTAAGCGTTTGGCTGCTAACCAAAAGGTTGGCAGTTCGAATCCACCAGCCACTCCTTGGAAACCCTATGGGGCAGCTCTATTCTGTCCTGTAGGGTTGCTGTGAGTTGGAATTGTTTATGGCAAAGGCTTTGGTTTTGGTTTCATATATATAAACACACGTATACGTACAGGTATATATATATATGTATATAATCATATTAAACAAAACTATTTTGAAGTCTTTTTTGTTGTTGTTTAATATGTTTTGGAATTTGTTTTCTATGATTTTAGACAAATATCATTTTGAAGAGACTTTAAGAAATTTCTCCATGACGCCTTCAATGAGCAGAGAAGACAGGAATATTTTTTTCACCCCATGTACACAAATATTCCTTTTAGAAAAGAAATATCTGGAATTATTTCTGTGCTCTTTTAAAAAAAAAAAAAGAAGACACCATTAGTGCAACATAGTGGGTGTGTTACTTTTTCTCAGCTGTTTTTCATCTCTTCGTCTTGTAGGATATGAATGAAGTTGCCAACTTTGTTGATGGTTCGGTTTCAGGATGTTCCATAAGCAATCTGAATTATCCCCCGTTCACTCCCAGTAAGTCTTGGTGTGGTGGGCCTGATGAAAGTGGCAATGTGTGTTGGATATTTTAAGTTCATAAAGATGGATATGGACAGTCTGGCAAGGGAGTTTGTGCAGAAATGTGCATAGGGAAAGGAATAGGTGGACAATAGAAAAAGGAAACTGTGAAAGAAAATAAAAATGTCCTATGCTTTTCTGGGAGCCCTGGTGGTGTAGTGGTTAAGAGCTTTTCTACTAACCAAAAGGTTGACAGTTGGAATCCACCAGCCGCTCCTTGGAAACTCTATGAGGCAGTTCTGCTCCATCCTATAGGGTCACTATGGGTTGGAATTGACTCGATGGCAACGGATTTGGTTTTTTGGTTTTGGGCACTTTCCTAAATGAGACATGAATCCAAAAGGGACAGTGGAATCCTCCACCTATGGTCTGCGCTGGCTCTAGGGAAAGGATCCAGGGAGGATGTGGTGCAGAAGCCAGAGATTGGTGGTTAGGTGGTCACTCTTGAGTGTGCACTGCCACAGGTAAGGGCTTACCAGGAGAGAGACCAGGAAACCAGGCCTGGACTGCAGGGGAGGGTCAAGCCCAGTGATATCAGCAGTGTGGGGGGCGTGCAGAAACCACAGGAGGAAAGAGAGCCAGAGCCCAGGACCTGGGAGTTCAGGGTCAGAGGCAGCCAGTGTGGTGCTAGTGAGCTTTGATTGACCTTTGATCACCTCTGCCTCCCAGAGTGTGGCCCTGGACCCAGGCATTCGTTACAGTTTGAAAAAAGCTAGAGCCCACAGGCAAGTTGTATCTTGATTGAGAAAGGAATAAAGCTTCTAGATCAAAGCATTTTAGGAAGACTTTCATTCTGGTGTGCAGTCGGTTGCTAATGAAAAGTTTGGAGGTTCAGGTCCACCCAGAGGTGCCTGGTGTTCTACTTCCGAAAATTCCACCACTGAAAGCCCTATGGAGCACAGTTCTCCTCTGACACACGTGGGGTCTCCAAGAGTCAGAACTGACTCAACGGCAACTGGTTTGGTTGGTTGGTTGGTCCATTCCGATGAGAAGATAGACAATCTGGACAGATAGGCCAAAATCCAGAGTTGAGGGCCTTGGATGGGAACGGTTCATACTTCATACTTCCGATGACAGAAGCTGTTTATGTTTTAGTAAGAGGGAAGCGCAAACTCAAATGGTTTTAGAAAGACTAATCTGGCATTAATGTGCATGATGAACTAGAAGACAGGCCAGAAGTAAACAAGCCACAGAGAAGCTACTGCAGTAGTTAGATCCAAATATGATTTGGATCGGGACAGAGTGGGGCATAGGAGTGGAAAAGAATAGATGAAGGAAGGAGAGATTGGGAAGTCATTCTTTATAAGACATGGTCAAGGAAGAGGAGGGATCAGAAATTATGCTTTCACTCAGTTCCTGGACCACTTAGCTCAGTTTGAAGAATTCAGCTTGAACCTCGAGTTTAAGTAGACCCTCTTGCTCCAAATGCCCACCTCTAGGCATAGGAGGGCCCAGTGGGAGGGTGTGTAGGGTCAGCACAATCCATTTCTGTATTGGAGAAACTACCCTAAAGCATGATGACTTACAGGCTGGCCACCATCCATGCCGGCCCAGGGGCGCTACCTTGCAGGTTCTGTGATAGCCGAGGGGCAGGGCATCCCAGGCTCTTGCTGACATTCCCCTCTCTTGCTCCAGAGATCCTGGACGGGTACTTGTTCCGCAGCACCCTCTGCATGGACGCCGTGCAGCACTGGGGCAAGCAGTACGACGTCCACAACCTGTACGGCTACTCCATGGCGATCTCCACTGCCGAGTAAGACCACGCCTGCTGTAGACTGAGTACATGGCCCAGCAAACCATCTTCCTAGATGTCGGGTGGCTTGTGTGCATTATCTTTCAAAAACTCTGCAAGAAAAGTATAGTCATCCTTACTGAATGAATAAAGAAACTGCCTGGCACCTAGGAAGCATGGAATCCAATAAAAATTGTCGAATGTATAAAATGAAAGAATGAATGGATATCTAGAACAAAGGTTGGAAGAAAGAGAGGTGAAGTAACTTGCCCAAGGTCAAAGAGCTAATAAATTGCAGAAGCAAGATTTAAGCCCGTTTCTGCATTTTTCTGAAGCCCATGGTTTTCCCCCATGCCACCTGTATAGACTGCAGTGTGGAGGGTATGCAACTTGTCACTGTCCATGTGTTTTGGGGTTGTAGATACTGGATCAGCATCCTTCTCCTGTGCTCTGCCAGCCTTTGTGTGTGGACTCATGTTCTATAGTGAGGAAAAGATATTGAACATTTACTATACTTACTATAACTGTGACAGCAGGAAACCAGACCCCTCCCCCCACCCCCTCAAAAAAACACCACATTCATACACTAGCAAAGTCGTGGATGTGATTGTACCCATTTTGAAAGTTGAAATTCTATACCAAAAGTTTTTAAAAATATATGTATAAGCATAGACTTTTAATTAAAAATATATACATGATGTATATTTATGCATCATTATAAAAGCAGACACATATGCACACAATTTTGAAATGTGTTTTCTTATTACAGAATGATTGCCAAAGGGTTCTACTTAGAGAGAGTTTAAGTTCCAACAGGCTGTTCATAAATCTATTTTTGCAAAGTCACACAATACGAAAGAAAGGTAGATGTACGTCTATTCTGTAAAAATTGTACACCTCTACTTTCTAGCCTTTTCAAGGCAGCTTTTGAAATTCTTGGACATTATGAGGTTAGTGTATATATAAAACAAAACACCAATGTACTCAGTGGTGCAGACTGTACCTACTAGCAGCTCTCACTCCATTGGGAGAGAACTTGAAGAACGGGGTGTTCGCTTTTCAGATCATTGGTATCGTTGAAGTCCACGGGCTGAGACAAGCTAAGTTCCTACACTGATTCCCAAAATCTCTCTCTGTTTCCAGAGCTGTCAAGACTGTATTCCCCAATAAGAGGAGCTTCATTCTAACCCGTTCTACCTTTGCGGGATCTGGCAAGTTTGCAGCCCATTGGCTAGGGGACAACACGGCCACCTGGGATGACCTCCAGTGGTCCATCCCCGGCATGCTTGAGTTCAACCTTTTCGGGATTCCAATGGCAAGTACCCAAGTTCTCCTGTGAACCTCGATCCCCAGAAAGCCTCATTCTAGAAAGTTCCAAGCCATAAAGCACAGCTCTCCTGCTCACCACGTCCCAGGGATTTAATGTCTCAAGAGCAGGTGCTTCATCTACGTTAGTATGGCTCTGGTGCCACCACGTTCTTTCCTGTGCTGCCTTGTAATGGTAATGCAACCTTGAAATACTATCCCTGGAATATTTCTTCTTATTGAAGCAGAGCATATATACAGGAAAGTGCATATAACGTTAAGCACATGGCTGATGAATTGTGAAAACTGAACACATCATCTGCGAATCCAGCACCCAGATGAATACAGAGAACATTGCCCAAACCCTAAAGGTGGTTTTAGCATCTTGTAGTTAAATTCAACATATATAGAAATTGATCTCCTACTCTGTGTCAGGCACTGAGCTAGGTATGAATGGTGAGGGTGGAGAAAGGTGTAAGTATGGTGACAAAAACACCTTCTCTTCCCCCAAGGGTTTACAATTCAGTACGAGGAGATAGATACAGAAACAAGTAATTATGCAAGCTAAGGAAAAAGTGCTAATGGGGCCAGGTAATTTAATGTTAAGGGAGATTCTGAGAAAGGGACTTATTAACCCTGACAAGATTACATGGGACAAATAGGAAAGAGAGGCAAGAGGTACTGACTGGAAAAGATGGCACTTGAGTTTATTTTGAAAAATGGGTCTGTTTTGTCAGACTATCTGGGGAGAAGGTAATTTTAAAACAGAGATAAACCCAAGGTGAAACAGTAGGAGGGTAGTTTTGTGTCTCTAGGATTGGGGCATAGGATTCCTGGGGAGGCTGGGGTGGAAAATGATGCTGGAAAAGTGGGTTGGGACCAGGTGGTGAAGGGCTAATAGAATAAACAGCAAGGAGACCCTGGAGGTTCTTGAATAGATGAGCGATGGATCAGAGTCTGGCTTTGGAAATGAATTCTGGTAGCGATGTGGTCAAAATAATATCAGCAGTATTGCTGAGCCCTGATGGCGCAGTGGTTAAGTGTTTGGCTGCTAACCCAAAGTTTGGCAGTTCAAATCCACCAGCCGCTCTTTGGAAATGCTATGGGACAGTTCTACTCTGTCCTGTAGGGTCGCTATGAGTTGGAATCAACTCTACAGCAATGAGTTTGGTTTGTTTTTTTCTTTAGTCATCAAAAAGGAGCCCTGGTGGCACAGTGCTTAAGTGCTTGGCTGCTCACCAAAAGGTTGGTGGTTTGAACCCACCAGCTGTTCCATGGGAGAAAGATGTGGCAGTCTGCTTCCATAAAGATTACATCCTTGGAAACCCAATGGGGTAGTTCTACTCCGTCCTATAGGGTATTTATCAGTTGAAATCAGCTCAAGAGCAATGAGGTTTATTCATTTAAAAGCTACTGTATGCTAAGTGGAGCCCTGGTGGCACAATTGTTAAGTGTTGGGCTGTTGACCAAAAGCTTGGCAGTTCGAGTCCACCAGCTGCTCCTTGGAAACCCTATGGGTTTCTGATTACCTACACAGGGTTTTAGTAAGAGGTAGTGACATTTAGCATACCTATAACCCAAAAGCCTGTTGCCTTTGAGTTGATTCTAACTCATAGCGAGTCTATAGGACAGAGTAGAACTGCCTCATAGGGTTTCCAAGGAGTGGCTGGTGGACTTGAACTTCCAACCTTTTGGTTAGCAGCCAAGCTCTTAACCACTGCACTACCAGGGCTCCGTGTATAGGTAATTAGTACCCACTTTAACACAGTGAGGAAACTGAGGCACAGAAGGGTTAAGTAACATACTCGAAGTTGTCGAGCAGTAAATGGTGGACTCAGGTTATAACCCAAGTCTGTCCATGCGGTACTAGCCTTTTCAGTAAGAGGTGTTACCAACCTCCTCTGGGAGATCCCTGGTAGGAGGGAAAGGAAGGTGGTGGGAGTGGGGTGTCCCACTGTCGCTGTGTCCTCTAGGTGGGTCCTGACATCTGCGGCTTCAATGGGGACGTCTCCGAGGAGCTCTGCAGAAGGTGGATGCAGCTGGGAGCGTTCTACCCATTTTCCCGGAATCACAATGGCCAAGGCTACAAGGTGAGGGCCCCAGGAGATATGACGCATAGATTGGGGTGTACATTAGCACTGGGTCTGTCTTTATCCTTGCCAAGAAACCTGTTGAGCCAGCTTCTGACACGGTGCCTCTCTCATACTCATTTGCTCCACTGCTTGCACCTGTAGTGCGCCATTAAATGCCCCATTGACTCATGGCAGCCCCATGTATGTCAGAGTAGAACTGCTCCGTAGGGTTTCCAGTGGCTGATTTTTCAAAAATAGATCACTAGGCCTTTCTTCTGAGGTGCCTCTAGGTGGACTCAAACCTCCAGCCTTTCGGTTAGCAGCTGAGCGCATTCACGGTTTGCACCACCCAGGGGCCCCCATTATTTCTGCTGTTGGCATGTCTGCAGGGTTTCCTCAAACCTCTGTGCACTTTATCTGTGGCACTCATGTTGTAATGAAAATCAAAGACTTCAAAATTACTTAAATGGTAATTTTCTGAGAACAATGCTAACACAAACCCTAGTGATCATATAGAACAGAACAGAACTGCCCCCATAGGGTTTCCAAGGAGCAGCTGGTGGATTCAAACTGCCAACCTTTTGGTTAGCAGCCAGGTTCTTAACCACTGTGCCACCAGGGCTAGAGAGCTAATAATGAGGCAGAAGGAGCTCTTGCTGTGTGAACTGAAGTCCCTTTGCCCGCCGGCATTGCTCAGAGCCCAGTGTGGAGTGGAGGCTCCAGGCTGCTTAGTGATGAAACTCTTGGTTGCCGCCCATGAATGAAGGCTGGAATTCTCCAGGTGCTTTTGTGATTCCACAGCCAAACAAAATTGCAACCACTTGTGTCTTCCCAGGCTCAGGACCCTGCCTCCTTTGGAGCCGACTCCCTGCTGGTCAACTCCTCCAGGCACTATCTGAACATCCGATACACCTTGCTGCCCTACCTGTACACCCTCTTCTACCACGCACACACCTGCGGGCACACCGTGGCCCGGCCCCTGCTGCATGAGTAAGTCCACCTAACCCGAAGCGGTCTTGTTGATGCAACCAGGTAACATTGCCTGTAACATCAGAGTGAAAATTAAAGCAATCAAGCAGTTATTCAGATGTATTTTTCAAACTGGAATAATAATAACCAGAGGCCATCAGGTTGACTCCGACTCATGGCGACTCCAGGTGTGTCAGAGTAGAACTGTGCTCCAAAGGGTATTCAATGGCTGATTTTTTGGAAAGTAGATCGCCAGGCCTTTCTTCCAAGGTGTCTCTGGATGAACTCAAACCTCCAACCTTTTGGCTAGCAGCTGAGCATGTTAACTGTTTGCACCATCCAGGGACTCTCAAACTGGATTACCCAGTTGGTATTTGTGAGGATATTGCTGTCTAGATACTATTCTAGGGGTATTTTTAAGTTTTATAGCCTGCTCCCTTTTGGGAAGAGCGCTGGCCTCAAAGTTGTGGAACTTGCGAGGTCTTTTCTTTGTTCTGCCACCTACTTACTCTGTAGCTTAGACAAGTTGTTTAAGTTCTTTGGTCCTTCAGTCATAATTTACAGGATTTGATAGCTTAATCACAAAGGTCTCTTCCTGCCGTAATGCACTATGATTTCAGGTTCTCGGAATGGGCCAGCTGTTTGTACACAAAGAAGAATATTCTAGAAGATTTCCAGAACTTCAGAATTCTTATTGCTGCCACTGGGCATCTCTAATTCAAGTCTAAAAAAGTTTGCTTAAATAACTTTCCTTGTCAAAATATAGTTGATTCCTCCAAGTATCTGGACACACAAGGCCCTCAGCACATTTTTCCACCATTATATATTCATTTGTTTGTCTAAGTTTTGCCATTTCCTGGAATTTCCCTTTAAAAGGCAGATATCCTAGAAGATAAAAGGGTAAAAGATTATATTATCTGCTGATTTTGACGATCAGATCCATGTCCTGCTTGTAAGCCAAATGAGGTTCTAAAATTTTACTTCTTTTTTTTTTAAAAGGGGACAAGGCATATAGTCATAGCCTGGGATCTCCCAGTAGAGATATTAGGTTGGGAACTTCTGTCCAACCTGAGGGAGGACTGAAAGGCTGCATGGACCGGGAAGAGGCCGAGGTAGTGGGTCTGTCAGTGGGGCAGGGAGGCGGGTTGAGTGGGTGTCAGAATAATTTAGGGGGTTGACCCAGCAGGCATCCTGCCTGTTATGGACAAGTTGGGGGAGAGTGGCCAAGGACATTGACCCAACCCTCAGGGATGGGTCTCTGGTAAAGTTTACAGCCTAGGAAACCCTATGGGACACTTGTACTCTGTCCTATAGGGTCGCTGTGAGTCGGTATCAATTTGATGGTGATGGGTTGTTATGATCGTCGGTAGCATGTACTACATACAACGATGCAGCGCGTAATTTGCTGACGACATCCTTCTCGTGTCTCCAGGTTCTACAATGACAGCAACACTTGGGGTGTGCACCGGCAGTTTCTGTGGGGGCCAGGCCTCCTCATCACCCCAGTTTTGGATGAGGCAAGTCTTCCCACGGGGATACACTTGTGCTCTCTGCTTCTGTCCCTGCTCCGCTCCCTGAGACCTTTCTCTCGTCTGTGCTCCCAGCCCATTTCCAACACCGTGGCCAGGCCAGCCTTGGGCGGGAGGTGCTGTGGCCTTGGGACACTGGGCACCTGATACTCCCACATTTTCTTCTCCAGAAGACTTTTTTTCTTGACCAAGTTCCCAGCTGGTGTAGGACTGGCTGCGGCACCTGGGGGTGGTCGTCGATTCTGACAGCCTATCCTTTCTTGCTTCGTGTTGCAGAGCCAGGAGAAGCAGTGGCTGTCCTCAGAGTCTAGAGCTATACAGGCCCTGGTGGGGTTGTTGCCTCTGCCACTTAGCACCTGTGTGGTTGGGGAGCAAGTGATGGTGCCAGCTCCCTACCTGTAGAAGTGGGAGTAACAGTACTCCTGTTCGGGGCTGCTGGCAGGGTGGATGAGGAAATCCTTGCAAACTTGCAAAGCGGGAACTTTTACCACAGTCTGTGCTGCATTCTTACTAGTTTTTATTATCATGACTCCAAATGTGGTCCCATTGGGATTTTTCTGTGGGTTGCTAAGTTATTGTGTCTCTTATTCCGAGAGAAAAGGAGAAGAAAGGCACAAGAAAGGTCATTTCTGCCTTCTTGTATATGGTTAGAAAGTTCCCCCAGGGAATGCTGGGAAATCCGCTTATCCCCGTCAGAGGCTGGGCCACGAGGACAATGTTCCTTTTACTTTCAGGGTGCAGAGAAAGCGCTGGCCTACGTGCCGGATGCCGTCTGGTACGAATACGAGACCGTAAGTAGTTCTGGCTTTGTGTGAACTTCTTGAGTCCACAGTGGCCGCTGGCATGGGGGTGCTTCGGGGGTGTTTCTGTAACTTCCCAGCAGAGTGGGATGGAGTGAGGCAAGTCACCAGCGTCGGTCAGGATGGAGGGCTGGGAAGATCGTTGTCAGATACCTTACTCAGCAATCAGATACAGACTCAGAGTCCTCATGAGCAAGTCCTGGAGAGGCCTGCAGGCCATCTGAGCTCTGTCAGGACCAGCTTGCTTATCTGGAACTCTCCACTCATAGGCACAGCCTCAGCAGGCATACATGTTCTACAGACCCCCAACTGAGACAAATCCCGTTGTGTCTATTATTGTTCTCCCATCCGGCTGATGTCAGTGGGGAGAGCTGTAGATAGCTCAGCCGTGGGCCCCTGGGGGAGGGGAGTGTGCTGCTCACGCCCACGTCCTTATTTTGTTTGCACACCTAGGGGGCCCAGGTAACGTGGAGGAAACAGCAAGTTGAGATGGACCTTCCTGGAGACAAAATTGGACTCCACCTCCGAGGAGGCTACATCTTCCCCACCCAGCAGCCCAGCACCACGACTGAGGCCAGGTGCGGTGAGGCCGTGGGCTGCCTTTGATCGGTCACTCCCACCCCCAACTGCTGATCACACTGAAGCCAGCGTGCCATGGGGGAGGAAGGGCATTGGTGTGTGTGTTGGGGGGGAGCATCAAACTGTCCCCTGGGTTTCCCTCAGCCCCTTTTGAGGAAGCTGCTGATTTAGAGCTGTGTCTGAGTGTATTTTGAAAGGCCTTATTCACTGTCCTTCCCTAAACCCCCCAGTTTCTCCTCAAAATGCACTGCCTGCCAGGTAATCAGTGTCCTGGTTGGCCCAGTATGGTGCTAGGTTAGCACTCAGAGTTCGTGTCCTGGGAAACCCCTCAGTCCCTCAAACCACGTGGCTAGGCATCCTCCCTGCTCTGACTGGACCATCCTTCCACAGTTCTTATGACTCAGCCACTCCCACTTCTAGAGAGTGGGGTCCCCCCTTCACCCCTGAGTGGCCCACTCCTTTATTCCCGCTGAACTCTCTTTCCCGTGGTTCACGACTGGGTTAAAAAATCACCCCCTCCCAGGAGCGACAAATCTCCCCCATGCCACTGATTTCTCCTTTACGTGCCTTTGATTCTGAATGATAGCCCCCATCTCCATGTGCACTAAGGTGATTGAAGAGATGCACATTTATACCTATGGTCTCTAAAAGTTTTTTTTTTTTTTTTAACATTGGGAATGCTTTGGAGGCTGGAAGTATATCTTTTCCTTAGAACCTTCTTTGCTACCTGAATTTCTCAAACTGTAGACGTCTTATGACACTGATGGAAGATATGCCTAAATCCAACACCAGCTGGTTTCTTTGTCTGTAATTGCTCAGCTTTAGACTGTTCTGCACGCTGATGCCAAAATTATCTTTCTAAAATGAAAATCTCAATTCCTGGCTCCCCTGCTTGAAGTCCAGTCTTGAATTAATAGGGTGTTCAAGGCCAGTCACAGTCTGGTTCCCAGTCACCCTCACTGCTGTACCTCCTGCCACACCTTGTTATTCACCAATAAACCAGCCACGCCAAAAACCTTGTTGAGACTGGAGAAACCCCGAGAGCATGGCCCCCGGACACCCTTTAGCTCAGTAATGGGGTCACTCTGAGGTTCACCCTTCAGCCAAAGATTAGACAGGCTCATAAAACAAGATGAGGCTAATGGGGCACACCAGCCCAGGGTCAAGGACTAGAAAGTAGGAGGGGACAGGAAAGCTGATAATAGGAAACCAAAGGTCGAGAAGGGAGAGTGTTGACAAGTCGTGGGGTTGTCAACCAAAGTCATAAAACAATATGTATACTAATTGTTTAATGAGAAGCTAGTTTGTTTTGTAAACCTTCATCTAAAGTACAAAAAAAAAAAAAAAAAAAAAAATCTTGCTGATATCCAAATCCTATTCACCCATTTTACTGCATGTGGGCATCTGCACCTATTGCCCTTTCTAACATTCTTTTTTTTTTTTTCCTTTTATTTCATTTTGTAGGTGAAAATATGCACAGCAAAGATACACCATTTAAACAATTTCTGCATGTACAATTCAGTGATGTTGATTTCATTCAAGTTACGCAACCATTCTTGCTACCCTTTTCCAAATTATTCTACCACCATTAACTCAAATTTACTGCACCCAAAGTTTCTCATCTAACCTTTTGAGTTGCTGTTGTCAGTTTGATCTCACATAGATCATTCTTTAAAAGGACACAAAGCTCAAGGCAGTCATACTTCAGTAATTAAGTGAAAGTATTGTTTCTTTCAAAGAAGACTTCAGGGGATATTTTTGGTTTAAGTGTTAAGGTTTAAAGATTATCTCGGGGCAATAGTTTCAGGGGTTCATCCAGCTTTAATATCTCCAGAAAGTCTGGATTCCATTGAGCATTTGAAATTCATTTCCCCCACTTTGATCATGATTCTTCTATACAATGTTTGATCGAAATATTGGGTAATGGTAGCTGGGCACCATCCAGTTCTTCTGGTCTCATGGCAGAGGAGCCAGTTGTTCATGGAGGCAGTTAACCACACATTCCACTTCCTCCTTTGATTCTTGGCTCTTCTTCCTCTGCTGCTTCATGTGAATGGAGGCCTGGTGCTTTCTTAATGACCCTTCAGATTAAACCCAGATTTCATCTTCAAGAACCTTCCCAACTCTTCCAGCAGAGGCCGTGCTGCCGCTTCCAACTTTCTGGTCATTTTGTATACAGGTAGTCCCTGACTAATGATACCTTCAAGTTACGATGAACCACGCTTAGGACCTGTGGTTTTTTGTTTTTTTTTTTGTACATCTTATCGTTTTGTAATATGTAGTAGGTACAGTGTTGCAGCTCATAATTTGCTGATGTTATCATTCTCATGCCAACCTCCAAAGACAAATAAAGATCAGATTTATAAAGATACTGATAATAAAAGTCAATAATAATGAAAACTAAGAAAAAAATGAGGTATTCACTTACTTCAAAACTGACTTATGATACAGCCATTGAAACAGAACCCTGTTGTAAGTTGGGGACTACCTGTACTTTCTTGCTCCTTAGCTAATTTCCGGAATACTTTAAAAATATTTTAATCATCGTTATTTTTTCTCTGTATTTGATAATGTTATTATCTGAAGTCTTTGTTGCTGTTGCTGTTGTTGTGTGCATTGAGTTGATTCCAACCCCTAGCGACGCTATAGGACAGAGTAGAATTTCCCCATAGGATTTCCAAGGGTGTAATCTTTATGGAAGCAGACAGCCACATCTTTCTTCCATGGAGCGGCTGGTGGCGTTTGAACTGCCGACCTTTCAGTTAACAACTTAGCACCTAACCACCGTGCCACTGGGGCTCCTTCTGAAATTCTTAAAACCGCCAAACCAAACCCGTAGCTGTTGAGTCGATTCCAACTTGTATTGACACTATAGGACAGAATAGAAGTGCCCCATAGGGTTTCCAAGGCTGTAAATCTTTACGGAAGAAGACCGCCACATCTTTCTCCCTCAGAGCGGCTGGTTGGTTTGAACCACTGACTTTTCAGTGCAGGTGAGCGCTTAACCATTGCGCCACCGGGGCTCCTCTGAAGTCCTTAAACCAAACAAACCCGTTGCGGTCAAGTCGATTTCGACTCATAGCGACCCTATAGGACAAGAGTAGAATTGCCCGATAGGTTTTCCAAGGAGCAACTGGTAGATTCGAACTGCCGACTGTTCGGTTAGCAGCAGAGCTCTTAACGACCGCGCCACTAGGGCTCCCTGAAGTCCTTAGGAGAATTTAAATCTATCTTTGGTTATTTTTACTGACTTTCTTTCCTCCTGGCTTATTTCCTTGTGTGCTTAGTGATTTTTCAAAATGTGGTTATCGTAAGGGCCCAAAGACGGGTCCGATTCCTCCAGAGATGATTTACCTTCTCTTTGGCCGCAAGCAAGGGATGGCTGCCAACTGGGGGTCGTGTTAGTCCCCTTCAATGATCCCAGCTTCATGTGGGAACTAGAGGTTCAGCTTCTCTTTGGACACCAGGCCTCGTAGCCTGATCTTAGCACTGGTGTAAACATTTGTCCTGTGTCAATGTCGGGTTTTGCTCAGTGAGGACCCTTTTGATTTAAAACCAAACCAAACCAAAAACCAACTCCAAATCATGGCGACTCTACACGTGTCAGAGTAGAACTGTATTCCATGGGATTTTTAATGGCTGCTTTTTGGGAAGTAGATTGCCAGGCCTTTCTTGTGAGTCTACCTCTGGGTAGACTCAAACCTCCAACCTTTCAGTTAGCAGCTGAGTGTTTTAACCATTGGCACAGCCACCCAGGAACTCCCTTTGGTTTTTAGCCCACCCGTTTGTTTTATTCTGCTGCTGCTGCTGTTTTGGCCTCTTGGCTGTATCTCTTCTTTTCTTATAAGCCGCGCAATGTTTTAATAGGAATATGTGTTGTAATTTACCCAGGATGGAGTAGTATTTTGGTGGGTGCATCCTCCAGAATATTAGTCCGCCACACTGCTGGACTCTTAACGTATCTAAACTGTACTTCTTGTGTGTCATTTTCTACCTTGGTTATTTGGCAAATGTGTCTTATCTTTCTTAGACTAGTTAAGCTCATCAAGGTTGGGGCGATGATTTAGGCATCTCTGTGTCTCCCAGACTCCCTAGCAAACGGATGGTTCTCAGTGCACGTGTGTTCAATGAAAGCAGATGATTTTGTTGGTAGCTGAGCCTGGCTTGCTGGGCCCAGTGGAAGGCTGGCCGTGACAGCGTACGGCAGGGCGTGGTAGTGAAGAGTACGTCAGGTGCAGGCATTGGAAGTTACCCCAGAGGGGTGGTGCGGTGAGGAGAGATCCCAAATGAAATTGTACTTTCTTTCCGCCCCCTCTTCTCTGTGTCCACCTATCTCTCCATCTCTCTGAGTAATGCTGTGTGTTTTCTGTTCTAAATCACAAAGCAGATAATTAGGTTTTCTTTTTCCCTCAAAACAAACTAATAACAAATCAAAGAAAGGTGCCGTTATAGAGTCAGCCCTTATTGTATTGTCTTATTGTTTTCCGTATAAAAATGGTCCTAAGGCCAGGAAAAAACGACATCCTCCCCGCCCCCCCTTCTCCCACAGCTAGCATCTCTGCAGTGAGCAGGCGGCACCAGCTGTCTGACGTCTTTCTTTTCTCACAGTCTGTATTCTGACAGCGGCATCAGCAGCTTTTACTGAAGCTCCTCATGACTCTGGTCCTGAAATTCTTGCCACCGTCGTTTTTTTTTTTTTTTGTACTGCAGATGTTTCAGGTTTTCTATCTCCTGTGACATTACTGAGATCAGAGAAAGATGCTCCTGCCGATTTTGCCTTCCTGCCTGGTAAAAAGCAGAGTCATTTGCCACTAGTAACTTCACTCCTCGGAAATGTGATGGACACAGTGCCAGCTCATGTGGCAGCATTCCCGGGTTCCTAAGTCTTTGTCTCTTACATAAATCTTGTTTTCCACAGTCGGCGGAACCCTCTCGGCCTCATCATTGCCCTAGATGAGAACAAAGAAGCCGAAGGGGATCTCTTCTGGGATGACGGAGAAAGCAGAGGTGAGCACCGCCGTCGTAACGCTGCCATCTCTGAGCCTCCATCTCTGGCCCGTGGCCCTTCACACCTGCGGTTCATCGGCTGTGATTTTGTTTCTGATTGCACTGCTCGGGCATAGTGGTAGGGGAACCACAGATGGAGGAAAACCTCATTTCTAGCTCTTAGAATTCTACTATCCACCATCAATGTACATGGGTTGTCATTTTATCGTCAACCAGTACCTGGAAGAAATGTTTGCAAGACTGTACCTGTAATTCAGTGTATGCGTTTCTCTAAATACACTTATGAACAAATGGTGCTGATATGAGAGATGGACTCATGCCAGTGAGGCAGTGAGAATGCACTTTTGCAGTGGGTATTCATCTGCTGTTGTTAGCTGCTGCTGAGTTGGCTCTGACTCGTGGTGACCTTATGCACAACAGGATGAAACCTTGCCCAGCCCTGTACCGTCCTCGTAATCGCTGCTGTGGTTTTGAGTCCACTGTTGTGGCCATCGTGCCAACCCGTCTCACTGAGGGTTTTCCTCGTTTTCACTGACCCTCTACTTTACCAAACAGTATTCATCTAGCCGTGCTTTCTAGCACATTTTTCTGTCTCCAGTATACTAAGAAATTCTGTGGCCAAAGCTTGGGAAATAGATTTGCTTGAGGTGTATGCCTCGGCAGCACATGGAAGGGAGTCTTTTCAAGGTTATGGTGGAGGGAAGGGAAAAGCAGTGGCTTGGCCTTGGAGACTCTGGTCATGGTCTCGTCGGTCTCAAGATGTAGCTTTGTGTGGGGGAGGGGGGCTAATATGTCCCTCTCTGGTAGGCAGAGTCTGACTGGTCTTTCTCTTGCTTCCAGATACTGTGGCCAATAACACGTATGTCTTCTGTAAGTTTTCTGTCACCCAGGTGAGTAGCATACTTTTATGAATTGTATGTCTGGGCTTTCACCTGATCATTAGCTCATGTGTGTTGGTGTGTGTGTGCAGTGATATTTGTGGCCTCATATGCATTTCCGAATACAGGTGAACATGTCTCAGTTTATGCTTTAGCTCCCAATAATTGAATCATCCATGCTGGCATAAGGAGGCAGTGATATGGATAAATCAAAGCAGTCAGAGTCTCCAAGTGAGGTTTTTAAAAGTGTCTTTCTGTGTGTGTGTATGTGCATGTGATCCTGATTTTTTTTTTAAAATTTTTGCTTAGGGGATTATAAAGCATATTTGTATTCCTTGAGCACATGTTAGTAGAGATAGCTAAGAGGCCTTCAGAGTAGTTGGGCATTTGGTCTATGATGGATATTGGGTGACTTGAGAATCTGTGGTTGGGTATCTGGTCTGTGTGGATTACTGGGTGACCTGAGAATCTGTGGTTGGGTATCTGGTCTGTGATGGATACTGGGTGACCTGAGACTCTGTGTATGACAGGCAGCCCGTTTGCTTATTTGTTTTGCAGAACCAGTTGCATGTGAATGTTTTGCAGTCAGCCTACAAAGACCCCAATAATTTAGCATTTGAGGAGATTAAAATCCTTGGGATCCAGGAACCCAGCAACGTTACTGTGAAGCACAATGGTGTCCAAAGTCAGACTTCTCCTAAAGTCACGTACGATCCTAACCTCCAGGTAAAATCCCATTTTGTTGAGATGGCTTATCAAGGATTCTTTGTAGCCTCATGGGCTTCCTTCTTGCAAGTTGCATGGGCTCCGGAAGGAGCAGAGCAGGCGCTGAGGCCTGTGGTGGGGAGGGCTGAGGGGTGGGGAAGAAAAATAGGAGGAGGGGCCACAGCTAGGATGGGTTAGGAGCTGTTGAAGAACTGGATGAAGGTAAAATGGCCTTTTCGTCCTTCCTTCTCAGTCCCTCAGTCTGCTCTCGCTGATGAGAAATAGTTATGATGGGACAGAAGAAAAGCATAGTTAGGAGTCTGGGGAATAGGATTATAGGAAAAGAGAATCTGAAAGCTACTGGTTGATGCTAGAAAAGTAAAGATAGCAGGTGGAATCTCAAGAAATTAAGAATTTGAAGTGCAGTTTTTTCTGGTGGCGCAATGGCTAAGCGTTCGGCTGCTAACCAAAAGGTCGGCAGTTCTGATCTACCAGGTGCTCCTTGGAAAGCCTCTGGGACAGTTCTGCTCTGTCCTATAGGGCTGCTGTGAGTCACAGTCAATTCGACGGCATCGGGTTTAGATTTTTGGTTCTTATTGAGATAGACTCTCATGTAAGCATATACATTTTTAAGAACTATTTTAAAACAAAGGATTTCATAATCCTAGCTAATGGCTACTTATTTGATTAAAACCCATTGCTGTCCGGTTGATTCTGACTCAGAGGCACCCTACAGAACAGAGTAGAACTGCCCCATAGGGTTTTCTAGGCTGTAATCTTCATGGAAGCAGACTGCCACATCTTTCTCCTGTGGAGGGGCTGGTGGTTCCAACCACCAACCTTTTGGTTGGTTAGGAGCTGAGCTTAACCACTGAACCACCAGGGATCCTTACTCATTTTATTAGATGATAATAATGCAATAATTTTTCCTCACTTGTAATGAGACCTGATACCACGGAACAGGTTGTAACCAGTCCCTCTGATATCTTAGCATTTTGAAGAGTCCTTTCCCCAAATACCCCTTCCTACTGGTTCCCCAGGTGACCAGAGGTGAGGAGCTGCTGGGTCAGCATGGATTGTGAGGGACCTTCCAGATTGGGGGAAAATAAGTAAATTTAGCCTTCTACTATAATGACTTATTGATCACATTTGACATCTTGTGCTGACAACACACATTGGTGATGCATAGATTATAAACTTAGAAATAAAGAATTGTGTGGTTGGTTATGGGGATGGCAATGTACAGGTCATTTGGAAGGAGGCACATAAATGTGACAATAAACTCTGTGTATGTTTGTTAATTAATTAATGTAACAACTAATATAACACCAAAGGAGTTCTTTTATCCCTTGATTTTGGGTGAAGGGGAGACACAATCTAAACCCGCGAAACTATGAGGAAGAGGACAAGGAGCCCAAACCAGCATATAAGGAAATGTTAGCCTTTATTATGTCTATTGTAAAATCTATTTTGTTACGTCTATTGTAAAATCTGTCTATTGTTAAGACACACTAGGAAGAAGGACCTGGTGATCTACTTCTGAAAAGAATTAGCCAGTGAAAACCTTATGACTAGCAGCAGAACATTGTCTGATACAGTGCCAGAAGATGAGATCCTCAGGTTGGAAGGCACTCAAAATACGACTGGGGAAGAGCTGCCTCCTCAAAGTAGAGTCGACCTTAATGATGTGGATGGAGTCAAGTTTTTGGGACCTTCATTCGCTAATGTAGCACTACTCAAAATGAGAAGAAACAGCTGCAAACAAGATGGATTGACAAAGTGGATGCAACAATGGGCTCAAGTATAACAATGATCATGAGGATGGCACAGGACTGGGCAGTGTTTCGTTCTGTTGTACGTGGGGTCACTACGAGTTGGAACTGACTCTATGGCACCTAACAACAACAATGACATTGTAAAATCTATCAGAAAACCTGAGAATGTAATGTTAAAGCCTTACTGAGGTGGTTGAACAAACTTCTTGAAGAAGGCAAGGCTAGAGCTGGGCCTTGAAAGATGGTGTCTCAGGTAGGATGGTGTTCAGCTGCAAGTGATCAAAACCCAGAAAAGTGGTGGTTTGAACCAGGGCTTCAAACTGATTCATTCTGGTTCGACCCCCTGCTGAGAATTTACATTTCCATCCCAGATATACTGAATAGAATCTACACTTTAACAAGATCCCTGGATGATTCTTATTTATGATAAATTTGGAGAACTGCTGCTCTACTAGTGATTTTCAGAATTGGTCCCTAACCAGGAGCATTGGCATCCCCTGGGAACTTGTTAGAAATGCAGATTCTCTACAATCATTTTGGAAAACTATATGGCACTTCCTTAAAAAGCTAGAAATAGAAATACCATATGATCCAGCAGTCCCACTCCTAGGAATATATCCTAGAGAAACAAGAGCCATCACAACGAATAGACATATGCACACCCATGTTCATTGCAGCACTATTCACAATAGCAAAAAGATGGAAACAAACTAAGTGCCCATCAACAGATGAATGGATAAACAAACTATGGTACAGATGCACAGTGGAATACTACGAAACAATAAAGAACAATGAGGATTTTTCGAAACATCTCACAACATGGATGAATCTGGAGGGCATTATGCTGAGTGAAATAAGTCAATCAAAAAAGGACAAATACTGTATGAGACCACTAGTATACAAAATCATGAAAAGGTTTACACACAGAAAGAATCAATCTTTGATGGTTATGAGGGAGGGGAGGGGAGGGAGGGAAAAACACTAAATAAACAATAGATAAGTGGTAACTTTGGTGAAGGGTAAGACAGTACAAAATACTGGGGAAGCCAGCACAGCTTGTACAAGGCAAGGTTATGGAAGCTCTGCAGACACATCCCAATTCCCTGAGGGACCAAATTACTGGGCTAGGGGTGTGGGGACCATGGTCTAGGGGAACATCTAGCTCGATTGGTATAACATAATTTATAAAGAAAACATTCTACAGCCTACTTTGGTGAGTAGTGTCTGGGGTCTTAAAAGCTTGTGAGCAGCCATCTAATATACTCCACTAGTCTCACACCGTCCATAGGAAGGGAGAATGAAGAAAATCAAACACACAAGGGAAGATTAGTCCAACGGACTAATGGACTACAACTACCACGGCCTCCACCAGACTGAGTCCAGCACAACTAGATGGGGCCTGGCTATCACCACAGACTGCTCTGACAGGGATCACAATAGAGGGTCCCGGACAGCTGGAGAAAAATGGAGAACAAAATTCTAACTCCCAAAAAAAGACCAGACTTACTGGTCTGACAGAGACTGGAGAAACCCTGAGAGTATGGCCCTCAGATGCGCTTTTAGCTCAGTAATGAAGTCACTCCTGAGGTTCAGCCAAAGATTAGCCAAAGATTAGACAGGCTCATAAGACATAACGAGACTAAATGGGCACACCAGCCCCGGGGCAAGGACAAGAAGGCAGGAGGGGACAGGAAAGCTGGTAACAGGGAACCCAAGATCGAGAAGGGGAGAGTGGTTGACATGTCATGAGGCTGGCAACCAATGTCACAAAACAATATGTATATTAATTGTTTAATGAGAAACTAATTTACTCTGTAAACCTTCATCTGAAGTACCATAAAAAATTTAAAAAAAAATGAAGCACAGTTTAAAAAAAAAATTCTCATCAGGAGTTCGAACCGGAATGAACCGGTTTGAAGCTCTGGTTTGAACAGACTGGGTTTTTTATGTAGGCAGTAAGAAGTTTAGAAGGTGGTCAGTTGCTGGCATTGCTCAGTGGCTTAGGCTGTCGGGGTTGGAGTCTTTTCTTCTCTTGTGATTGGAGATGGTTGCTTAGCTCTAGTCACCGCGGTCCTGTTATAGCAAAAAAAAAAAAAAAAGAAAGAAAGAAAAGGAAGCAGGAGGAGGAGGAAAAGGCGAGGGGCAGGCCCTTAAATCCAGAAGAAACAGCAGGCCCCAGGGGACTTGTACTTAATAATAACCACAGCTGTGTTCCACGGGTTAACAGTGTAGTTCTTTAGGGGAACTTTGGTATCCTGAACTAAAATAGTGGGTAAGAAGAGTGCGAGAAACCCTGGGGGCGCAGTGGTTAAGCACGCTTGAGTACGGACCAAAAGGTTGGCAGCTGGAACCCACCAGCAGCTCCACAGCAGAAAGAAGCAGCAGTCTGCTTCCGTAAAGATGACAGCCTTGGAAACCCTATGGGGCAGCTCACTCTGTGCTACAGGGTCGCTATGAGTTGGAATCCACCCCACGGCAGCGGGCCTTTAGAAGGGTTCATAGGGCAGGCAACAAGCAGCATATTCCACAAGTGGGCACCATTTACCTAGATTCCGCATTCCAGGTTATGGCATCAAAACAAGCCAACCCAAGGACTGATAATAACCGTCTATTAGCCTGTGAATCCGGTATAAGCAAAATGGGTAGGGTTCGCTTTTGGAAGGAAGTCAGTTTGGACAGATAACATTATGGCCAGATTTTGGAGGGCCTTAGGTGCCAGAGGAGTCCCTGAATAATGCAAACAGCATGCTTGGCTGCTAACTGAAAGGTTGGGGGTTCAAGTCTACTCAGAGGCACCTCAGAAGAAAAGCCTGGTGATCTACTTCCAAAAAAATCAACCAATGAAAACCCCATGGAGCACAGTTCTTCCGTGACGCTCATGGGGTTGTCATGAATTGGAATCAACTTGACAACAACTAGTTTTTGTTGGTTGGTGCCAGAATGAGAAGGTCACACTTGATCTAATTCTCATATTGATCCTTGAACCAAGCTGGTACCGTGCAGTCAGCCTTTTTCTTGGGGAGAGTAACAGACATGGAAGTGCAAGGAGAATTTACCCTAGAGAGGGGCTGGAGGAAGGACGATCATCCTCAGAAGGCGATTGTATTACTCCAGACACATGAGAATGTTCCCGGGGTAAATTGCTATTGAAAGAAGAGACAAATATAAGAAAAATGTTTAGAAAAGTATTAAACGTTTGAACAGGTGACTGGGATTCCAGGGAGAAGGTTTCAAGCTTTGAGCCTTTGCAATGAGAGGGGTGAAGAGGCTGGGCTGTTAAGACAGGGAAGGAAATTTCATGATTTGGCTGACTCACTGATTTTGCAGTTGATAAAACTGAGACCCAAAGAAATTGAAATGATTTGTCTAAATTTCCACAGTGGAATGGGATGAGAACTGTGTTCTTGCTACCAGTCCAGACCAATGGGGATCACTGGTTTGGGGAGCGAGGGCCAGAGGATAAGCTCAGTGTGGATGGTGTTGTGTGTCTGTGTGTTGTGTTACAAGGGGTAGTGTGGAGGGAGCTAAGAAAGCAAGGAGGCGGAGGAGGCGTCAGGGAAGGAGAGAGAAGGAGTGACGAGAGAGAGTTGTATTGACCTGCGGCTTTTCAGCATGTCTGCCAAGATTCAGCTAGAGCTGTGACAGCTGCCATTGGTTATTTACCCCTTAGGGCCCTCTTCAGATAAGCTCCAGGGCTTTCTTGCTTGGACTGATGAGCCTCAGGTTGATTTCTATTTCCTGTCCTACAAAAGCTTCAGGCCTTACAAGGCCTGGGCCTGAGGATGGATGTCCTTGTCACTCCCCGTTCCTCCAGGTGGCCATTATCACAGAGCTCAGCCTTCTCCTGGGGGAGGCGTACACGGTGGAGTGGGGCGTGAAGATAAGTGATGCAGAGAAGATCGACTGCTACCCGTACGAGCAGGGTGCTTCTGCAGAAAACTGCTCGGCTCGCGGCTGCGTCTGGGAGGTGAGCCCGCTGATGTGGTGAGGGACGACAGACTCCTGTCCACTCCGTGTGCAGTGTTCATGAGCATAGCACCACAGCTTTTAACCTGCACAGGGGAAGGACTTCCAAAGGATCCTGAGCTTTACCTGGAGACAGGAGTGGGGCCCTTTGCAAAGAGTTTTCCCAGAGACCAGGAATGTAAAGGGTCTTATGTCACCACCAGATGGGATATAGGCAAACAAGGCCTGGGCTGGCTTTCTCTCACTGTACATTTCCTTTTCCAACCCTTTTCTCCTGGACGATCCTTGCACCCCTTGCTGACCGGGGACTTTGACCTTGCGTTTCAGGAATCCACTACTGAGGGAGTCCCTTTTTGCTATTTTGTCAACGATCTGTACTCTGTCAGTAATGTTCAGTACAACGCAGACGGGGCCAGCGCCGACATCTCCTTAAAGACTCGTCTTTATGCTGATGCCTTTCCTTCAACCCCCGTGGCCTCCCTCCGCCTGGACGTCACCTACCACAAGGATGACATGCTGCAGTTCAAGGTGAACACGGTGGATGCTCCACATGCCAACGAGGTCACTGTCAGCTCCGTCACGTTTTGCTTGTAGTCAAGGTTGCTGCTGTTGTAGTGTGTTGTCAAGGCGATTTTACGGAGCAGAACTGCCCTGTAGGGTTTCCAGAACTGTAATCTTTACGGAAGCAGATTGCCAGGTCTTTCTCCCACATCGCAGCTGGTAGGTTCAAACAGTGGACCTTTCAGTTAGCAGCTGAGCACTTAACCGCTGCGCCAGGAGGGCTCAGGTCAGACCAGCGTGGTATTGTCTCAGTGCGATTCACAACCTGACATTACCTGGACGGTACATGTTTTTACCTCTTACTGCAGGCACAATGCTCCTTTTATCTCCATTCTCACTAAAGCGCTGTCTTGGGTTGGGGGCCCTTAATGGGGTTGAAATGAACCAACTTGCCTGGGTTTCCGGCCTTAACTCTTGCCTCCACTGACCCCTACTCTACCTACCGTACAGTAGCTCTCATGGAAGCATCTGCCTTTCCAAGCCCACATCAGTACTCTGTGCCTTGGAGGCTGCTCTTTCTCTGCTTGCTCTGCTTAGTTAATGGCTGCGAAGCTTTTAGGACTCAGCTTGTGTCTCCTCCATGAAGCTGCCCCAGGCTCCCAGAAACACTGCTAGGCTCCCAGCCCTTCTCTATGGCTCTTGAATATACCATGGACTGTCAGAAGAATGAACAAGTCTGTCTTGGAAGAAGAACAGCCAGTGTGCTGCCTGGAAGTGAGGATGGCGAGACTTCATCCCAGCCCATATCATCCCGGCATTGCGGCATCTCTCGCCACCTCCCGTTAGCACAGGACTCTCGTGTTCAGTTTGGTACCCGTAGTGTCTAGGATAGAATCAGGCAGGAATATACAGTAAAACCCGTGAAAGCAGAACCTGTGTAAGGCGGACACCTGTCAGAGAAGGAAAATGCGAATCTTTTCCACTAATAGAGAGCAATAGAAAAGCGGTAAGACTGCTCCCTGTCAAAGGTGGAAAACTTTCGAGACCCAGAAGAGCAAGGCTGTCCCATCGAGTTCCGGCTCTCATAGGTTTCTCTGCAGTAGGTGCTGAATAAATGAAATGAAATCTCATTTTTAGCAAGGACATCTATGATTGTTATAATCAAATAGAATTTATATTTTTGGGGGGGATGTTTTCCCAATTTAGAAAGGTTTTCAGCTACATAGTTATATATACTCACACACCCACATACAAAGTAGTAAAATACATTCATAAACACCAAACTGATTTTAGACTGATTTTCCAAGCTAGTAACAATGACAAAGTGAATGTGTCAGTTTAATAGAGGTCTTACAGTTAAGATGAGGCAGACTCAGATAAATAAAAATGTCAAATCTGACATTGATCTTTGACATTTCAGTTCAATTCCAGGTTATTGTTAGGTGCTGTCCAGTTGGTTCCAACTCATAGTGACCCCGTGTACAACAGAACGAAACACTGCCCGGTCCTGCGCCATCCTCACTATTGTTGCTATGTTTGAGCCCATTGTTGCAACCACTGTGTCGGTCCATCTCATTGAGGGTCTTCCTCTTTTTCACTGACCAGAGGGACCAAGCATGATGTCCTTCTCCAGGGATTGGTCCCTCCTGATATCATGTCCTAAGTACATGAGATGAAGTCTCGCCATCCTCACTTACAGGCAGCACTCTGGCTGTACTTCTTCCAAGACAGACTTGTTCGTTCCTCTGACAGTCCATGGTATATTCAATATTTTTTGCTGACACCATACTTCAAAGGCATCAATTCTTCTTCCGTCTTCCTTATTCATTGTCCAGCTTTTACCTGCATATGAGGTGATTGAAAATATCATGGCTTGGGTCAGGTGCACTTTAGTCCTCAAAGTGACATCTTTGCTTATCAACACTTTAAAGAAGTATTTTGCAGCAGATTTGCCCAATGCAATACGTCAAATCCCAGGTATCATGAGCTTAAAGAAGACAAACATAGCATTCAGACTCTGTCAAAGACATTGAAGTTCTGTTAAGGATGTAGGTTTTAAGAGAATTCTCCTTGTCTAAAATCTGTTTCCTCTGGTCTTAGATTTATGATTCCAGCAACAGTCGGTATGAAGTCCCAGTGCCTCTCAACATACCCAGCACACCGTCCAGCACCTCTGAGGGTCGGCTCTATGATGTCCTCATTAAGAGGAACCCGTTTGGGATTCAAATTCGCAGGAAGAGCACAGACACTATCATGTAAGTGGCTCCCACCTTGCTGGGAATTGACAGACATCCCCAGACACTCACTGCTAGGCCCATTGTCCTGGGCAGTGTCCTGCCTCAAACCATCCCCGGTCCATTTCCAGATTCGTGAATAAGTTGTTTCTTTTGAGGCTGTTCTTATGGGAAATCTTTAGCGCCCTGGGAATAATGACTGAGGTAGGTGCATGCACCTGGGCCTTCATTCAACAAATGTTTATAGGGTGCTTCTGTATGAGGTGCTACTCTAAGCACCATGATTATAGACATATGAGGTCGCTCTCCTCATGACAAGAGATTATAGTAAATAACAAAGACAATTTAAGTTAAAATACAAACAAAGAAGTATAGATGGGAATGACTGCTGTGTAGGATAAAGAGCAGGGTAACTGGGAGTTTTGAGGGGGTTACTGCTTTAGGTACTGTGGTCAGAGAAGGTCTCCCCAAAGGGGTGACATTGGAAATAGGACCTGGGTGAAGGGGAGGAGCTTCCCATGTGGAGATGAGGGGAGGGGAAGAGCATTCAGACAGAGGGACTAGTAAGTGCTGAGGCCGTGAGACCAGCAGAGTGGACATTTAAAGAAGAGGAGACGCTGAGGTCGCTGGAGCAGGGCAGCAAGTCAGGAGGTGGCACTGGGAGATGAGCTGGGTGTCCGGTGGGCTCCAGATCAGAGGTGGCCTCGAAGGCTCCGTAAGATGTTCGACTGAGAAGCCACTGAAGAATTGCCAATGGAGGAGTGACGCCGTGTGAGTTGTTGTAGTTAGCAGCCGTGGAGTTGATTCTGTGGGTAGAACTACGTGCCGTAGGGTTGTCAAGGCTGTGACCTTTTGGAGGTAGATCACCAGGTGTTACTTCCAAGGCACCTCTGGGTGGGTTTGAACCACCAGCCTATTGGTTAGTAGTCCAGGGCTTCCTCTGGATGCTATGTAGAAAATGGGCTGTGAGGGTCAGGGTTGGAAATGAGGGCTGGGATGGTGCAGTTGAGAGGGTGAGAAGTGATTAGGTTTCCTACTTTGAAGAAAACTGGAAGGAGAGGTATGAAGGCTGATCCTAGGCTCTTAGCAAGGGTATTTACGATTGTTTTCATTAAATGGATTTATGTTTTGTGTGGAGAGGAGCAGGTTCTGGGTGAGGGCAAATCAAGAGTTCCTTTAGCCTTGAAAGTGAGCTCCTTGAACTCATTTCTTCTCCAAATCGACCCTTTGTGTTGCAGCTGGGACTCTCAGGTCCTTGGCTTCACCTTCAACGACATGTTCATCCGCATCTCCACTCGCCTCCCCTCCCACTACGTCTATGGCTTTGGGGAAACTGAGCACACAGCCTTCCGCAGAGACCTGAACTGGCACACGTGGGGCATGTTCTCACGGGACCAGCCCCCAGGGGTAAGGACAGAGCGTTTGGGCTCTGTGTTTCTGCCCGTCTCCCATCACACCACACATGCTTTGTGCTGCGTCTTCCCAGACTCGACGTGGATGGTCACGTTCTGCTTTTAGAAAAGCGGGCCAATTCCCATGCTCCCTTATTTCTTGTGGATTTAATTTAGTATGTCACAGACTGGACCTGTCCTAGTGGTCACTCTTTGTCGAGTTTGTCAGCCACAATGTCTTTTAACCTCCTACCACTTCTCCTCTGCAACTCCCCCAGTACAAGCTGAACTCTTATGGCGTGCACCCCTACTACATGGCGCTGGAGGAGGACGGCAACGCCCACGGAGTGCTCCTGCTCAACAGCAACGCCATGGGTAAGATGGTGGCGGCGGCGTCTCTAATTTTCGTGAGCCAGTTGTTCCTGGGTAACTTCGGGGGTGTTTGGCTTAGCTGCCTAGGAAGTGAAGATTATTATCTGGTGGAGAGTGGTTTTTGTTTGTTGTTGTTTGTTTTACTTTCCTGCCCTTTCTGTTTAGTTGAGTGCTGTAGCAGGTGATATAAGAACTAAAGCACTTCTTGTTTGACAGAAGTCACTTAAGAAGGAATAACATAACCAAGCAAGTCTCAGATAGCTTCCCTGAAGGTCAGCCCATGGGAGCGGTCTGTATAGTTTGGATTATTGACACTATGGGTCAGAGCACTGTTGTAGGGGTGGAGTGTGGAGAAAATCTAATGGTATACAGGAAAGCCTTAAATCCAGGGGTGGGAAAAAATGGATGCATATAAAAGCTGGTGAAGTCCAAATAAGGTCTATACCTGAGTTTAGAGTATTTATCAATGTTAGTTTCAGTGGTTTTGACAGTGTACTATGATTCTGTAAGATATTGTCATTGGGGGAAGCTGGGAACTCTCAGTACTATTTTTGTAACTTCTTATGAGTCTTAAACTATTCTAAAATAAAAAAAGTCATAATAATATCTAATAAAAGAGCAGAATAATCAACCATATAATAACATAATAAAACACACCAAAGGGTTGGGGGGGGGAACCAAGGAGTGAGACCCTATAGGCTTTCACTTAATCTCTTCAGCTCTGTGAGGGTTTAATGCAATTAAACATCTGCTTTAATTCTCTACAGTAGGGGACATGGCAAGAGGAAGAAGGTATGAATTTCAGGAGTGGTTGCTCATCTTGAAGGTGTCCACCTTGGCTGATATCCTCCTATGTTTTCAGATGTAACGTTCCAGCCCATGCCTGCCCTGACATACCGTACCACAGGGGGAATTCTGGACTTTTATGTGGTCTTGGGGCCAACCCCAGAGATTGTCACTCAGCAGTACACTGAGGTAGGAGGGAACTCTGTTAGTACCAAGTGTTATAGAGCACATCTGTGTAGCACAAACCATCTTAGGCACATTCATTTCTATGGATCTCACATGATAACTGGAATTGTTGGTCTTTCTTGGAGGCAGGAAGATTATAGAATAAAGGGCAATAAATACATTTCAATAACCATTAAGTTTGAAGCCTCTCTAAGCATCCCAGAGTAATAGAAGTAGTTGTGGTGGTAGTGGAGGGTGGTGGTAGTGGTGATGGTGGTGGTGATGGTGATGATATAATGATGTTGGTGATGGTGGTGGTGGTGATGGTGGTGGTGGTGGTGATGATATAATGATGTTGGTGATGGTGATGGTCATGGTCGTGGTGGTGGTGGTGGTGGTGGTGATGGTGGTGGTGGTGGTGATGGTGATGATATAGTGATGTTGGTGATGGTGGTGGTCGTGATGATATAATGACGGTGATGGTGGTGGTGGTCATGGTGGTGGTATTGGTGGTGGTGACGGTGGTGGTGATGATGATATAATGATGGTGGTGGTGGTGGTGGTGGTGATGGTAATGATGATATGATGTTGGTGATGGTGGTGGTCGTGGTGATGATGATGATATAATGATGTTGGTGATGGTGGTGGTGATGGTGGTTGTCGTGGTGGTTGTGTTGGTGGTGGTGGAGATGGAATTGTAGGGCGGGATGATGGTGATGGTGGTGGAGGTGGAGGTGGGGATGATGGTGATGGCAGTGATGTGAGTGGGGGGGTGGTGGGGTGATAGTGGAGGTGGTGGTGATGATGGTGGTGTGGGTGAGGATAGAGTGGGGAAGGGGTCGTGGTGATGGTGGTAGTGCATGCTCGCCATCATTCAGAGCACTTTCCACGCTTTAACTCACTCAGTCCTCACAAAACACTATGAGGAAGATACATTTATTATCCCTGATTTACAGGTGAAGAAACTGAGACACAAAGAGCTTACTTTTTTTTGCCCAAGTTCACACAGCCAGCAGGGACAGGAGCCCGTATATTAATCCAGGCATTTCACCTCCAGTATCTCTGCTCTTGATCAGTAAGCTCAGCTGCCTCTAGGGTCAGAGTAAATTCAGGTTTTCCAGAATGCCTAGAGGGGGAGTTCCAGTCTAGCAAGAAACGCCTCCTGGGCTTCCCAGCAGTTCTGCGTTCCCTTGATTTCTCCCTGGGTTTGAATTTGTGATCGCCTAGCTCAGGGCACTGGAAAAACTTTAGTACCTTGTGTACAGCCTCTGTTTGGTTTCTCCTTTTTGAGGTCTAATGTTTCTATTTTCTAGTTGATCGGCCGTCCTGTGATGGTGCCTTACTGGGCCTTGGGGTTTCAGCTGTGTCGCTATGGATACGAGAATGACACGGAGATCGCCAACTTGTATGATGCAATGGTGGCTGCCCAGATTCCCTACGTAAGTTCTCATCTGTGGTGTGCTGGCCAGGGGACCTCACGGCTAACTCCCGCCGTCTCTGTGCTGGGATTCGTTTGGCTGGTTTTTTGTAGGGTTTTACAAAGTTACAAAGGAGTCCTCGTGGTGCCGTGGTTAAGCGCTCGGCTGCTAACTGAAAGGTCCGTGGTTAGAACCCACCAGCTCCTCTGTGGAAGAAAGGCCTGGCAGTCTGCTCCTGTAAAGATTACAGCCTCGGGGCAGCTATGGGACAGTTCTACTCTGTCCTGGAGGGTCGCTATGAGTCGGAATGGACTTGATGGCAGTGGTTTTGGGGACAAAGTTACAAAGTGCTTTCTCATGCAAAATCACATTGAGCCTCACCCCAACCCTGTGACACAGGTGGGGTCATTGTCCACATTTTGGAGGGAAGGAAGCTCAAAGAGTCACAGCGATTTGCCAAAGGAGGAGCAGGCACAGGCTCTGTACCTCTAGGGCTCTTTCAGCTGCATCGCACTTCTTTTGCAAGACTTCAAGAGAGTCAAAAGATGGCTTGGTACCGTAAGAATAAATGATCCCCCAAAGAGCTGTTTTGCTTCATTAAAAAAAAAAATTAACCAAATTAAGTCAAACCAATTTATGGGTCAGTATAACCTCAGTCCCAGCGCTTCTCAGACCCAGCAGTTCAGTGTCCCCTGTTTTTAGCTCATCACTGGCTCAATCAGCAATCCTGGGACTGGCTTCCGAAGGGATACACATGGAAGTAACCCATTCCTTCACCTGATGACGGGGGTGGGGGTGGGGGTGGGGTCCAAAGATCAGACAGCATATCCCGTGAGCCACGTATATATTTGATAGTATTTCATTTACTTTTCTATTGTGTACGAAGTTCATATTAATGGAAGGTAGAGAATGCAATATCTCATGCAAACGGTTAAGTGCTGGACTACTAACTGAAAGGTTGGTGGTTCTAACCAACCCAGAGGTGCCTCAGAAGAAGGGACTGGCAGTCTGCTTCTAAAAAGTCACAGCCTTGAAAGTCCTATGGAGCACAGTTCTACTCTGCACACATGGGGGTCCCATGAGTTGGAATTGACTAGTTGGCTTGGTGTCTGGCATTGGCATCGGCAACTAGTTGGTTGATGTCTGATAATCCTCAATACTGGATATTCCAAAAGAATCGCAGGTTTATGTTTTGTTTGGATTTTTAGTAGCTTTCTGCCCTTGATGCATTAGCACTGAGTAGGTAACATCATGTTATTCTCTCTGCACATGGACCACTGGTACCAGGCTCTGTACCTTGGGGAAGGTAACAGCAATAATTCCTTATACTGTAAGTTAACAAGCCCTTTCTCACCCAGTATTTTCATTTATCCTCATAACAGCCCTACCAGATAGCCATTATCATCCCTGTTTTCTGCTGATCTAAATTCTGCTATTTTACAACTGAAAGTTTGCAAGTTAGGTGAATTGCCCAGGACTCAGCAACTAACAAGTGACAGAGCTGGGATTTGAAAGGGTCAAGAAGGAGCTGTCTGGAATTCTCCATCGGGTGGTAGAGGTTGCTCTGCATGGAGCCCAGGCTTCTGTGACAGCAGCCACCTGTGTCCTTGTGTCCCTGTAGGACGTGCAGTACTCTGACATTGACTACATGGAGCGGCAGCTGGACTTCACCCTCGGCCCCAAGTTTGCCGGGTTACCTGCTCTGATCACGCGCATGAAGAACAATGGGTTGCGGGTCATTCTTATCCTGGTTAGTCCTCTGTGAACGGGTGGGTCACACATGAAGGGGATAGGACACGGGTGGGTCATCTCTCCCGGTTAGTCCTCTGTGAGTGTGGTGAGTCACGCATGAAGGCCAGTGGGATTCATGTCATCCTCATTTTGGTTAATCCTCTGTGAACACGTGGGTCACATGAAGTTGATGGGACACAGGTCATTTATCATGGTTAGTCCTCTGTGAGCATGTGGATCATGCGTGAAGTTGATGGGATGCGGGTCATCTGTTCCTCGTTAGTCCTCTGTGAATGTGTGGAGTCTGGGGGAGAAAGCCTTTTATTGTGTTTCTTTCCACGGTACAAGTGGAGAGACTGAGGTTCAGTAAGAGAAGTGCATCACTCAGAATTTGCAGAAGCTCTAGCGCTCAGGTTGAAGCTGGAGCCTTCTCTTTTGAGACGTTCTCCTTTTTACTGTTCCTAGTCATTCTCTGGCTTTGCTTTCCCCACCTGACCCATGCTTTGTTTCAGGACCCAGCCATTTCTGGTAATGAGACCCAACCCTATCGTGCGTTCACCCGGGGCCTGGAGAACGACGTCTTCATCAAGGATCCCAATGGTGACATTGTCTGGGGAAAGGTATGACTCAGCACCCCAGCCTGGTAGCGTGTTTGTGCATGTTGATTTGGACCCTTTGCAGTGGGCTCTGAAGTCAAAACTCTCATCTTCTCAATCAAAGTATGTTGACACAGTTAAGGACTTTCTAAGGAATGTAGATGCATTGTGGGATCCACTTTCTCTACATGAACATCGAACAATATTAGTTTGGGTTTTAGTGTCCCTTAGGCTGTACTCTGTAAAGGAACTTACCCAGTGCACGGCATTTGAACAGCTTCCTCTTCTCTTCCTCCCCACAGGTCTGGCCTGATTTCCCTGGTGTTGTCGTTAACGACTCTCTAGACTGGGACAGCCAAGTGGAGGTAAAGGCCTTTGGGGCGTCATGTGCAGTCAGATTGCCAGGAAGGGGCATCTGTACCCAGGACAAGGGCGTGCCCATCCGTGGACATGGGGTGTGATGGGGGGTGGCACTGAGAGAGCCTGTCCTGTGTGTCTGTCCATGTGCGATCACGTTACACATAACATTTGACTCCTGATTGGGAGGCAGGTACTGCTACCCCAGGAGGACTAAGACTCAAAGACCTTAAAGAGCTTGTCCACGTTCACAAGGTTTTAGGTGACAGAGGTGATTTCAAATTCAGGACTGCCAGATTCCCAAGGCCCCTGAAATCTCCACTGGATAACACTCCAAGATGTATCTTTTCCTTGAATTGGTGTATACGTTGCTGTTGCTGTTGTGCTGCTTCCTCGGGCTAACCCTTTTGAACCGTTCTTACCACCTGCCTTTAGTGACCAGGTCCTTTTCTCTGTGAATCTGTGTAATGTGGACAAGTTTCTTCATCTTCACTCTTATAAGCCCCCTCATCCCTACTTGAATTTCTCAACCTTGACCTCTTAGATTCCAGCCTTACATGAAAACTTCCTTCTGCGGGGGACCAGTTCTTACGTGTAATGGTTTCCAGATAATCTGCTCTGTGGACCTGAAATCCCACCCCCCACTCAGTCTTTGTTGCTTGAGTGAATATATGGTTCCTCGCTGGTCCAGGAAGCCTTCAGCTCCATCCCCTGGCCAAGATGTGTGCCCAGTGAACTGACATCAGCTGTTGGCTCTGTTGTCACTTCCTCTGGCAGTACCTGTGAGCAGGGTCCCATACTTGGGACCAGGCTGCATGGCCACTGGACTTGTTTCTTTATTTCTGGCATTGGGTGCAGTAGAACAGCAGAGGCAGAGCTGGGCAAATTTCAATGTTTGGAAAGAATGATGAGTTAGACATAGCTCAAGGTTGTTTCCCTTTTGTCTACCCCTGATCACGTAATACAAAAAGCGTATGTCAGACAACAACAAAATAAATAAAAATTTAAAAAATGCTAAAAAGGGTAATATATATACATATATGTGTGTGTGTCTGTGTGTGTGTGTGAGAGAGAAGGACTCAAAGGAGAGGCCCTATCTTCCCACTCCCCTGTTGCTTTTCCGGAGGGTCACCTGAATTTTGGTGGTCCATGCCACCCACATGGTCACAGGGACCTGCCAGGCCAGTGGAGCTCAAGACCGTGGCTCCCTGACTTCTAAACCATCAGGCTGTGAGAGGAGCCACTTCAGCAACAAGGGGTTTGTTGTTTTCAGTGGTTGTCGAGTCAGCCTTGACTAACGGCGACCTCACGTACAACAGAATGAAACGTTGTTCAGTCCTGTGCCATCTTCACGATCACTGGTATGCTCCCGTCCATTGTTACGGCCACTGTGTATTTTGAGAGACTTCCAGCCTGGGGGGCTCATAATCCAGCACTATATTGGACAATGTTCTGTTGTGATCCATAGCGTTTCATTGGCTAATTTTCAAGAGTAGATCACCAGGCCTTTCTTCCTAGTCTGTCTTAGTCTGGCGTGGGCCTGCTGGTATTTGAAATACCAGTGGCATAGCTTCCAGCATCAGAACAACTTGAAAAACACCACAGTACAACACACTGACAGATAAGGGGTTGGCTTCTGTCACGTGAGCCCTACGGTTCATGAGCCAGTAGGGGCAATACTGCCACCTTGAGGGTATTTGGAGATCTGTGGGACAGTGTGGGTTACCACAACAGAGGAGCTTTTAGAGGGCAGGACCAGGGGTTCCCATAGTTCTGATTGTGGGGGTTCTTCACAGAGTTCTCCTGCCCCGAATGCAAACAGCACCCTGACGAGAAATGCTTCCTTGGTGGTCATGTGATCTATTAGGTAGCACATAAAAGATTCTCAGCAGGTAGGACAATTACAATTATGCATATTAATAACACTTACCTGATGAGGCTGAGGGGGAGGGAGCTACCGGTGTCCAGGTCTGGCCTGGCTGATGGCAGCCTCTGGTAAAATCAATACCCAGGAAGCCGAGCTGAAGCAGATTCCTGGGTCCCACACTCAGATTCCGATTCAGTGAGTCTGGGGTGGGTCAGGACTTGGTGTTCGGTAGCACACAGTGGATTCTGATCGGTGACCCTGGGCTAGACACGCGGGTGGGCACGTCGCTGGTTGGGGGCAGGAAAGTGAAGGCAGAGAAACACAGCAGGAGCAAGGACAGGCTGCTCAGTGGGGAATGGCAGACTCCCTTTAATTACGGGGTTCATCAGAGTAGTCCTTAGTGAGGTCAGTCTCCCAGGGCTGGGCAGACGCCCGCCGTGTCCAGAGGAGGCTGCAGTTCTGACCCAGACCCTGTGGTGTTTGCTTATTCTCATCCTCCCACCCCACCCATCATTTCCAGCCCTGCTCTCAGTTTCTTGTGACAGGCTCTCTGTCAGGTGCCATGGTTTCTACCTCGTTTGCCAACAAAATGTCGCCCTGGCCACCTCCCGCTCATGAGTTCCTCTCACTTCTACTTCTCTGTGAGCAGGATCCCTGTGTACTGACGTGGTTCTCTTCTTTCTCTTCCTCTCTTGCCTTTTATCTGGACACGTGGGTTCCTTCTTGCCTCTTGTCCACTTCAGATAAGATATTAAAAAAAAAAAAAACTAAACCCGTTGCCAGTCCAGTCGTTTCTGACTCATAGCAACCCTATATATAGGACAGAGTAGAACTGCCCTATAGAGTTTCCAAGGAGCACCTGGTGGATTCGAACTGCCAACCTTTTGGTTGGCAGCCATAGCTCTTAACCATTATGCCACCAGGGCTCCCAGATAAGATGTGGAGGTCCCCTAGACCATATTCTCTTTCTGTTTTCTCCCCCCAGCATTATTTCACTCTTTAACTCTTCAAGTGTACTAACTAATACAGATGGACCTGTTTACTGAGACATACCAAAGATCATATAACACCTGTCAGTCTCGGTCTGTCCTGTGGTGGCTTGTGAGTTGCTGTGATGCTGGAAGCTATGCTGTTATTTCAGATACCAGCAAGGTCACCATGGTGGACAGTTTTCAGCGAAGCTTCCAGACTAAGACAGACTAGGAAGAAAGGCCTGCCGATCTGCTTCTGAAAATCAGCCAATAAAAACTCGAAAGATCACAACAGAACAGTGTCTGATATAGTGCTGGAAGATGAACCCAGAGATTGGAAGGAGTATGAGGATGGCACAGGACCCGAAGATGTTTTGCTGTGTTGTACATAAGGTCACCACGAGTTGGAGCTGACTTGCAGCAACTAGCAACAGCAACAAAGGACCATACAGTTCCATAAAAAGCAACATGGTACACAGGAATTTATGGATATTTGCTGCTGCTGCTGAGCGGTGTGAATCCAGGATTCTATACCAAGCATTTATTTCATGTCAGTTTCTAAGTCAGCGCTGTGGGGAATGTAAAGACCAATCGGAAGAGTCTCCGACAAGGTCTGTGCCCTCAAACAGCTAACAGTCTAGCTAAGGAGTTGTACCCTGGCTCTGCTTTCCAAATTAAAACAAAGACACAGCTTTTACTATTGCAGGGACGATGAAGAGAAGTGCGGGTTGAAACTTCCTCTTTAATCCTCCAAATGTACTTTACACACAGCTGAACGGGATTCCATGTGATTCTGAAACCACAGAGCACGGGTGTGTGCGAATTAGATATTCTAATATCTTGGACTGACCTTCCCCTTCCTCTGTTACTTACTCCCACATTTGAGTGGGAACGGCACAGGAGGGGATCCGGGATGTCCTTCCCCCCGGTGATGGAGCATTCCATGCCTGTGCCTTTCAGGCATCGTCTGCCTCGACCCAGGCTTTGTCCCCTGAGGGGTGCTTGGCAATCTGCAGGGCAGGAGTTGAGGGGTGGACATCTAATACCTGAGGTGGTGATGCAGGGTGCTGATTGTTACCAGTCATGTGGGTAAGAGGAGGAAAAGTCTCTCAGTGCGTCCCAATCTGTAGGTGTGTGCAAGGCACCCTGTATCTTCTGTGTATACAGTGTATTTCTACCAAGCCGAGAAAGTGACTGTGCTGTGTTTGGATTACCTAGCACCACGCTGTACGAGGCTTTGCACAGCCTAAGTTCTTGGTAATGCCTGTTTGCCTTCTAATATGTTTGTCTGGGACAAACAAATTACGTTATATTTTTTACAGCAATACCGAGCTTACACAGCCTTTCCAGACTTTTTCCGTAATTCAACCATCGAGTGGTGGAAGAGGGAGATGAAGGAAATGCACACCAATCCACTGAATCCAGAGAAAAGCTTGAAGTACGACGGCATGTGGATTGTAAGTGTGTGTGGGGGGGGGTGCGGGTGTGGTGTGTATGCATGTGTGGTGTGTGTCTGTGGGGTGTGTGTGGTGGGGGAGATACGTGTGTGGTGTCTGTGTGTGTGTGATGTATATGTGGGGTATGTGTATGTGTTTGTATACACATGGATGGGTGTTGCCTATCTGTGTATCTGTGTGTGTGGTATGTATGTGGGGTGTGTGTGATGTGGGTGTGTGTGGGAGTACATATGGCTGGACATTGCCTATCTTTGTATGTCTGTGTGTGTGTGGTGTATAGTTGGGATGTGTGTGTGGTATATATGTGGTGTGTGTACATGTGGATGGGCATTGCCTATCCTGTGTATCTGTGTGTGTGGTGCATGTGTGTGTGGGGTGTGTGTGTGGTGCATATGTATGTACGTGTGCACATGTGGATGGACGTTGCTGTCTTTGTGTATCTGTGTGTGTGTTGTGTGTGTGTATGTGTGGTGCGTATGTGGGGTGTGTATGTGGGGTGTGTGTGTGGGCTGTGTGTTGTATATATGTGGTATGTGTATGCACATGTGTATGGGCATTGCTTGTGTGTGTGTGTGGGGTGTGTGTGGTATATATGTGGTATGTGTGT